TAAATTTCCTGGCTCGATGCCAGATGGCACAGACATAGTTACAGTCCCATTGCGAAAAGCGGGCCAATTTGTTTACCAATTTGCTTTTGCTGCTTATGAAACGCATCGCATCGCTGTCAACTGTTTTAAGCAATTTTCTAGGTCAACTGCGGTACCCAACAGCAATTGCCAAACAGCATTTCCAAATGTTAGCCACGCCTGCTGCCAGGCAGCTGCACACTAATGTGCAAATTATTCATACGCCTCGCTTCAAATCTGGCTGTCATCTTTCATTTTGGGCAATCAAATTTTCTCAAATTGCAACTCGAGTTGCCTGGCTAAAGACCCGAAAGGTAATCAACTGCAGGCAACAGCCAAGCCGAGCAGCCAAGCCGTGTGCACAAAGAAATAGTTTTCTTTATGCGCGCGTGTTGTCTATGGTCTATGCAACTTTTTTACATGTATTGTAAGAGACGCTCATAAAGCTCATTTCGCTGAACACAAAGAAAAAAAAACACCCTCGGTTACGCATGCCCCGTTGAATCTGCCGTCTGTCGGATTGTATAAGCCATCAGTTCCCCCCTCACACACACACACACACACACACACACACACACACATGACACATAAATATGTCGCGCGCTGGAGCTGTAGCCGCAGCTCTTGCATAGACAATTGTGTAATTAGCCAAAAAAAGCAACACACACAACATAAAAGAGCTAAAAGACAGTGGTAACAAAAATCTAAACGTCTTTTAGCTTTTCACATATTCATTTCCATAAGCCGCCGCTCGATTGTCTGTGGGCTGGCTGCTATTTGGCAATCCCGACAGCCGGCAATCAGTGCTCAGAGCTGAGACCTCAAACTGGTTGACACCTTTGCTCTGGCGGCGCCGAAATTGATTTATGACTGCCTCACTGCCAGCTGTCATATGCGCTTCCATATATCACGATCCCATATTTTGTATCTTCCTATCTTGGCCAGCACCGAGATATTTATTGTTTATTTGCTGGTCTTCAACCGAACGTCTACTAATTGCCGCTGGGACGAACAATTTCTTGGTAAGTTCGCCCTGGGGCACGTGCCCATTGACAATGCGAGTACACTGTGAGAAAACTATCAACTGTTTGCGAATAAAATCCAAACTCTTGGCATGTACTTAAACTTTTCTCAGTAAGTGTGATCCTTCTTGAACTGTTTTTATTATAATTAATATTTTAAGAGTGCACGAATTCATTTTTGCTAATAGTTACACATCATGACTAAGCTGTTAAATACTTCGTGTAGAAGAATGATTTAAACGGCGTATTTTATTCAACAAATTAGTTCAAATTAAATTTCTTATATTTGTGTAGTTATTTAGATGAAAATAACTCGTTCTAATTCAATTATGGCTTATTTCTTTTAATATCCATTCACAAATATGGAAAGTTTTCAATATCCTAGACACACACACGCACACGCACACATTAACTGCGCTGCACAAACATCCGCTCTGAATATCCGGCGTTATTCGTGCGTGCCTTTTTTTTTCTTGCTCCGTTTTATATATTTATGTAATTAATAAACAATTAAAGGCAATTCGTTAAGCAGTGCTAATCGAATTAGTACGTTTGGGTGCATAACTATAGCGAGTGCGAACTGAACGCAGCGCACAAACAAAAGACTGAAGGCACGAACTCAATATTGAAACACCAAACACAGAACTCATTCTCAATGTGAGTTCTTTATTAGAATCTTTGCAGCGCGCTGCGCTAAATGGCATCACGAGTTGGACCTGGGCAACAGTCAAGTAAACAATGTGACAAAAACAATCCGAAAAAACAACAACTAATACTACTATATAGCGCATTTCGTAGCAGCTGTTGGATATAGCTGCAGATGCGATTTTTGCGCACTGGGTTTTAGCTTACAGGCCAGGCCGAGCCAGCCCGAGCCGGGCCGGGCCGGTAGTTCATTATATCACCTCTGGGTGAAAGTGATGATGGCATTCGCACACACCAGAGAGCGGCGTACAGATACACACACGTAAATGAAGCATGTGCGAACATTTTCCTGCCTCATCATTTTGGGTGCTTACCGCTGCAGCAGGGTGTGTGTGTGTATGTGTGTGTGTATATGCAGCTGTTTAACGTACAGCAAATGTATGCTAATCTCGGTATCCAATTGCATCGTTCCCCTCTCCCCATGTCTCTCACACTCTGTGTGCTGCATTTGTTGTGCCTCTTGCAAATATTTGTGTTGCCATTTTTTCAATTATCGATTTTTATTTGCCTTTGACGTTGAGCTGTGAAGCGCAGACTTTGCAAACTTCCTCATTGCACACGCTGCCTGTTATGCAGTTGCAGCAGCAGTGGGAAAAAGCAAAATGAGAAATAAAAAAATATAAAATAGACGACAGCTACATCATTTAATGTCTGCAAACAGCGCGGCTTTGTCTCTGCCAGAGAAATCGGCAAAAAACAAAAGATGCTGCCACCAAAAAAAAGCAAGAAAAACAAAACGAAAGACATCTAAATAAAATGTCAGTCAAATGAATATTCATAAATTGTGCGCAAACAAACACAAAACAGAGGCAAATGAATGATTGCCAACAGCAGCAGCAGCAGCCGCAGCTGTAAAAATTGTGCCAGGCTAGGCGAAATTAAGAGCAATTGCTACTCGAGTTTGCGGTTAAGCTTTATTTTTTATTGCGCTGCCTGCCGTATGCAAATATTTGCCCAGGTCACAACAAACACACACACACGCTTAAAACACTTTCCAACAGACGCAAGCATCCGCCAGCAACATCAACAGCAGCAGCAGCACCCGCGCTAATGCCAATGCCCATGTCCGCCAGCTGAAGCTGAAGCTGGAGTATTTCCAGTCACAGCTACAGCTATAGCTAAAGATACAGATATAGATACAGATACTAGCACACATACAGATACATTTGCCCGGCTACAACTTCAGTTGTAGAAATGAGCTGCTGCTCCTTTCACTTTCAATTCGCCAGTGCGCTGAAATGAGAGCAAAACGGACTTTAGCGCGCCAACAACAAGGGAGCTAACAACAACAACAACCACCAGTACACACACACACAAACAACACTCTTCAGCTGCACAAACATAACAACAATCAAAATAGAAGAAATCACTGCGATGATTCATCTGAATCTGTTGGCAGAGGATGCTGCGAAACGCTGCTGTCGCCATCGTCTTTTGACTTCGTTCGCATTGATTTTCCAAAGGCCACTCCACACATGCGTGTGCGTGTGTATGTGTGTGCGTGTGTGTGTGTCTGCTCATGTGAATTAATTTTTTTCTTTTTGTCAACTGCTTTTTGGGAGTTTCCCTCGGCCCGTTGGCTGTTGAGATCAAGGCTCCTTGGCACAGCCTTGACGTTGAATCGGTGAACATTCAGCACAAGTTCGTTGCCTAAGTCTTTCGTTTCGACAATGAACGAGTAAGTGTTCGCGCTCAAAGATGAACTGTTACCGGGTAGCTATTCATTTGACTTGCTGTTAACCTGATAAGTAATGAGTTTGGGATGAGTTCTTGGACTTAAGCGAGGGTCATGAGATGGTAGAAATATATTTGTGGGCGGCATAAAGTTAAAGGTCGTTCAAGTTTGTTTTTTATTTGAGAGAGTTGAGGTGAATAATAATTCGATTTAATAATGAAAAATCGTATGATTTAACCAAATAAACAAAAGCTATATCATTTGTCGATCTTCAGTTTAGTAGATATTCGAATATCAAAATTAAAACTTCGATATTTTTTGAGAAGATAATTTTCTTGTGCTGCAAAATTATCGATAGTTTTCATATCGAAATTATTATAAAATTAAATCAAGAATAAACCTTAGATTTGTTTTAATGGAAGTAAAGCCGTAGTTGACAGCCAATAGATAATTTGATAGATCGTAAATTATCGAGAAAAAATATTAGATAATTTAAAAAAAACCCAAAGACATATTTGACAAGAGATTATTTCCTGGTGCTGCGAGGTTATCGATAATTTTGAGAGTCGATAATTGATAACGATGCGATAAGTGCGCGTCATAAGCCCATGCTAATTGCCCTTGCACCTTTGTTTATTTCGCAGACTTTGCTCTAATTTTGTTGACAATGAGCCTAGCTCGTTTTATTATTGTGCTGTGGTCAAATATCCCCCACATTATGGAGGAGACGCTACATTCACAGAGTTTATGTAGTTGACAAGGTGCTCCGTTTACATTTCAATCGCATTGACGCGCCTAACTGCAATTAGCTGTCAAAGTCAAGTCACAGACATGTCACACACTGTCAAAAGGCATTAAACATGTCGATGCTTTTGTTGTTCTGTTTGATGTGAGCTAAAAATGTTTAATTGGCGCTTGTCACGGCTGGACAGTTGTTGTTGTTGCTGTTGCTAGCTTTGTAAATGATATAAAGCTGGCGGCTATTTAAATACTGAATGCGATCGCAAGTATTTGTGCTCGTCTGCGTACTTACTATTGACCATGGCGGCCAATGATGCCTTACGGACTTCATAACATAATTACAGCTTACGAAATGGGCGCCTGTCGTTAGCAGCAGCAGCAGCAGCAGTTGGAGTGGGAGGGGGTGGGGAGGTAAGATGGTAAGGCGAGGGCGCCGCCGGCTGTCTGAGCCGGCATTAAACAATAAGTATATTTATAAATATATTTTTGTTGTAAGTATTTGTACAATGCGCTGGCTGTTACTGGCATTTATTACACGCACACTCACACGCACACACACACTCACACACACTTACAATGAGCGTCGTCCCCTTTCATAGCTTTTACGCTGTGTCTGTGCATTTTATTGTTGCCTCATCGCCAACGCAGCGCCAGCCCGAACGACAGCGACAGCTGTTTTTCCCTGCTTTGCTTTAGCCAAAAAAACAACCGAGTAGGAAGAGGCGGCAGCAGCAGCAGCAGCAGCGGCTGTCGCGACTGCGCAGTTGGCTTCGTATGAAAAACATTGCCTGCAGCTTCGCTCGGGTTTAGCGGCCGCGCTTGCGTTCAGACTTCTTTGAGACTTCGCTCAGGAAGGTCGTGTGCGCGCTCGCCACTGAGAAAAAGTAAACGACAAAAACAAACAAAAAAAGCTTAATCAAAAAGCTCGTTTCGTATCGCACGCTCGTTCGGTTCGACGTTTCGCAACACGCGCGCAAATCGTAAGTGTTGGCTAATGTGCATTTTAGTGTGTAGGATAAGCAGCTAAAAGGACCTGCCAACTGCAAATTAAAGCCAACATAAAGAGCTAAATAATAAAAGCTAGAAAGAGCGTAACAACAATTGCTAAATTGAGTGTGTTTATCAATAAGAGTGGATTCGAGTGGAGTCGAGTGCTACGTATTGGAAATTGGATTGGATTGGATTGTATTGGATTGTAGCTAAATTTACTGCTATTTTTGTTGCTGTTGTTGTTGTTGTTGTTGTGTTAGTGAGTTGCAATTTCGTTTCGTTGCGGCTGCGCGCCTGACAGTGAAAGTGATTTGATTTTGCAATTGGAGTCTGGACTCGCAATCGCAATCTGTAGCCGTTAGCTGTTGCTAAACAATATACATACATATATATACATAAATATACCTATATTTTTAGCTCAGCTTCAGCTTGATGCGATCTTTTTGCTATGATTATAGCCACAAATTTATGTATAGCTAGCTTTATGGCCAGTTTATCAATTCATAACAAAACGCAACGCAACGTGCAGCCAAGCCAAACCAAAACCCGAAAATATATTTTAACAAATGAAATTGCAAGCTATTTTCGATTGCATTTAAAATATTGATATACACTTTTAAACAAATGTCTAAAGCGTGATTTTTAACCACTGTGCTCTAATTTTTATAGCCAAATAAAATAAACAACAACAACCAAGCGAAAAGCAGTAAACACACAATTGGATTAATTCTGCAAATAATAAACAAACAACTTGGGTAAGGCCATAAGCAAATTTGTTTGCTCATTTTTTTTCTTAGTATTCACGTATTGCCACACACACATTAATGCGAGCGAAACTAATGAAATGTTCATAAATTTCACATTCAATCAACATTTATTAGCGAGCGCCGCGACGACGATTAAATCATTCAAATTGCAACAGCGCACGAACCGCAAAAAGCAAAACGCTAAAAAAATGAAGAAAATTCAAGAAAAGAAATAACTAAAGCGTCATTATCTAATAAATCTTGCATTATACATGGACACACACACTTGCGGCTGACTGCTGCCACATGCAGCGCCTAAACATGGCGCGATATCTTGCAACATGTGAAAATTGCTCGGATTAGGCGTTAGTTATAAAAGCAGCTAAGCAATTGGGTGCTTTGAGAGAAATAAAGCTTTTAGACGCAGGAAAAAATTTAATTAATTTCGGAAATTTGTAGAAAAAACCGAGTAAAGCCTATTTGAAGCCAAGTATATTTGCTTTGACTTGTCGCTGTGGAAAATATTTTATTTAATTCCAAACAATTTGTAGAAAATCAAGTAAAGTCTAATTTTAAGCTAAATAATTTTGGGCTTGGATTTCTCGCTGCAGAAAATATTTAATAACATTTCTAAACTATGTATTTATTTAGGGCTTTGATTTGTTGCTGCAGAAAATATTTAATTAAATTTTAAAATGTTTGTAGAGAAAGGCAAGTAGATTCCATTTTGAAGCTAAATAAATTTAAGCTTAGACTAGTCGCATGTTTCGATTTTCGCATTTAAATAATATTTGTTTCTACAAAACTGAAAATAATCGAATACATCTTATTTTATTCATATAGATATTTATCTGTCTCTGAACCCAGGCAAAATATTAGCACAAATATTTCAATATGTGAATTTATATAAATACAAATTGATTTAATTTGCGCCAAACCTGTGTGCCGCATACCTGTCCGCCTTTTAAATATGTTAGCACAGTTACCCTCAATTTGTAGCCATATTAAATATATATAGCAAAACCACCTGTCATATATTATTCAATAAACAATATTTCAACAGCTGCTCAACTTGTTAATTATTATATAATAAGTATTTGCAAGAAGCGCGCGCATTGAATAACAAATAAAGCAGACTGCACACAACAAACCCAAAAAGAAAAAAACCATGTCAAGTTGTCTATAAAAAAAAAAACGTATATGCAAAAACAAAGACAGGAAAACATAAATAAAAGTGCGTCGAAAAAAGGGCAAACGAGACGCAGCAACAAAAGCAAGCGACAAAAAGTTTAACCCAAATTTTTAACTCTAACCACAAGACGGCCCCAAAAACAAATTATTTGGCAACGTTTTTATAGCCCGGTCGAAGCTTTTGTGTTTGTGAACGCACACCACACCAAATACATATATATACACATATACACATATTTATATATATGTATATAGTTATAGTATATGCATGTGTTACATACTTATATATGACATGAACTTCATTATCAGCAAAGCGCCGCCAACGCCATCGAAGTCGTTTTTTTTGGTAACATCTCTTTTTTCTTTCTTTTCTTTTGTTTTCCTCAAGTGGTTTTATTTTATTTTTTATTTAGGGCTTTGCTTATTGCGTAAGCGGAGAAACTCGTATTGCTCTGCATGCTCTTTAGAGCATGTTATATATTGAATTGCGGCGTCGCCGTAAGCTGCTGCTGCGGCTGTGTTACGAAAGACTTAAGACACAAACTTGAGAACTTTCCTTGCCGTCGAACGCACGCCTGACACAAATTACTTAATTTAAGACGCGCTTATTTTTTTTTAAACCTCGTACGTGAGTTGCATGAGAAAGGGCGTTTTAAATCGGGAAGACGTATGCAATTGCATATCAGAAACATTTAAGAGCCTGCGATAGCAGAGTATCCAGGTTCACATTGAATTGAATTTAAATAAAATATTTAATATTATTTTCGTCCAACCAAATATTAGCTAGGTTATAGTTAAAAAGTTTATGTAAAAGGCGTATAAATATTTTATAAAAGTATGCAAAAACAAATACAAAAGCAAGCAGGAGTAAAAAAGGTGTTAAATGACAGCTGAGTAAACCTGAACCACTATTTAGAGGGTATCGTTCAGGTCGAGCATTGCATAAAAGACTCAACACCTTGTTGCTTTCGGTTTTGTGGCGCCCAAAATCCGGTTGGGTTTTTCAGGCCGAGACCCTTTTCCAAAAATCATCTGGTAATAAACCCAAATTGTGATTATTGTTGCTGCTGCTGCTGCTGCCGTTGTGTGGATGCATGCGAGAAACAAGTTCCGCCAAATTGTGACCATGGCAATGGATTTCTTGCCAGTCGTTGCTTTTATTTCTTATTGTTTATGTAAATTGTATATATATATATAGTCTTGCTTTCTGCTGCTTTTGGACTTATGTAAAGCAATCGAGAAATGTAAATGATTTCTCAATGCGCATCCACTTTGAGCAGCGCATTCGATTATGCATTCATTTCGACTGTTAATTGGACGCGCGCTACTGTTATTCGTTTTTTACACATTTATATTTTTTTTATAGATCCCCTCAATCTGAGTTTTGGGTCTAGTTTTTAGCAGCTTTCAGCGGTTAGTGACCGGCTGGGCAGAGTCGATAGCCCCGTTTTGCACGACTCATTAGCGCGCGGCGCGCAGAGCAACAGCTAAACTGATAAATATGTAGAAGAATATAATGCTATAAAATTTAATAGCGCTTATCTAATGCCCAGTTGACCAAAAAGGGGGCCATAAAAATGGCGCCCAAATATCGAATGTGCAACAGATTTTTTTGGATGAATATTGCTCATACGCCAAGTTGCCGAGCGCTAATTATATAATCATTATCAATATAAAAGTTGTTGTTGTTGTTGTTGTTACGATTTGCATGCAATGTTATGTTGTTGTTGTTGTGGTTGTTGTTGCCAGCGCTTCTTAACACTTTTTGCTGCCGGTGTTGACTTCACACATTCGTAACAATTGCGCAGCAGGCATGCGTGTATTGAATATTAATTAACGCCGCCCCCTCTTCTCCCTCCTCCCGCCCTCACCACACCACCCGCTTGTCCAGCTAGCATATCTATGGATTATGTGTCTCTGGGCGTGTGGCAACAACACTTTGGGCCCGGTTTCAAATTGCGCTCGCTGCTCCGGCAAACGGCACTTACCTTACCCAATACCCATGGTAATAGGGTTTATTTTGTTGCTTTAGCTTTCCATTGCGTTGTGTGTTTGCTTTTGGCCAGGCTAAATGTGCCAATGGCATAACACCAATTTTCATACGATGTGCGCCTTTGTTTGGAGTTCAGCCTGCAGCTGACCCACTTGAGCTTTTTATTTGTGTTATGTTTTCGTCTGTGTGGGAAAGTCAAACGATTTGACCTTTTTGCATTGGGTTGGCCGCAACAATTTGCAATTGAACAAAATGGTAGCAATTCACATAATTGGCACAACTTTATTTAATTCGTTTGTTGCTTTAAAGAGGATTTGTTGGAGGTGTGTACACTTAGCAAAAAAAAAAGAGCTGGTTTGTAGCCCAGTTAAGATTAATTAAAGTCTATCTATACTTTTTGGCTTTATTTATATTAAATGTCTTCCAAGAGAGATATTTTTACTGTCTAAAAAGTTGTTAGTTTTTTGTAGCTGTCTTTTAAAACTTTTTCTTGATTAAGTTGTGGATAAAACTTTAATTTGCTGGCAATTTAACATATTGTGGGTCTTTTATTTTTTCATTTTAAATTTATTTTTGTGCAATCCTGTAATTTAAGCATTTTGTGCAAATGCAGGCATTAAATATTTCATAGGCTGACGTTTATTTATGCGCAGCTCGTCAGCGTCACAAACGAGATGCAACAACAACGATAACGAACAACAACAACAACAACAACGAACAAACGACAAACGACAAATGAGCGCGGCAACTCTTTTCGGCTGCACACATTCGCCAGCAGTTGCCATTGTTGTCATCATTTTGTGATTTTGTGCATTAGGCATTGTTTTTATCTTGATCTTTACTTTTATTTATATTTTATGCAAACGAAATTCATTTGTCTTTAAATTATGCGTGGCACAACAAACCAAATGAGTTGAACAAACGCAGCTCCCCCTGCCCGACCGCCCGCTAAAGCACACGCACGAATAGCTGCTCGAAGCTGTGCGCAACGCTGCGTATACGCAATACGTTGTATCCGCATCTTCAGCAGACGCTGCTGCCTCTGCTGTTGTTGTTGCGCATTTAAAATGCATTTATCTCAATTACGAACAAAACCAAAAAATTGCTTGTTTGCAACGCATAAACGAAACATAGCAAACCAACGACGCATTGTTTGCAAAAGCAACAACAACAACAAGAGCAACTTTCACTAGGCAGCGCACAAAACTGAAACAAAGTGCACATGCAGATAAAACAGGCACACACACACACACACAAAAGGGTGCAATAAAAAACACAAATATATATACAAAAATAAAATAAAAGAAGAGCAGCCGCAACAATTGTTAATTAAAACAAATAAACTGACAGTAAAAAACCAAAATAAATGTGAATTATGCGTGCAGCAGAAGTGTGAAACAGAGGCAAACAAAAAGCGAATGAAAAGAGAGAAAGAGAAATGAAAAAGAAAGAGCGCAGCGAAAGGCAAGGCAGATAAAAGAAGTAAAGCCAGTTTCCGGCGTCCTTCACAAGGCCGTTGCAATAATTGCTGATGCGGCAGCCACATGTTGCTCATAATGAGGCACTTCAACATCGCGATCATCACGATCATCATCATCACGATCATCTTCATTATCGTGCAGCAGCAGCTGTGGGCAGTTTGCACGCATTTTTTTTAACTCCATTTTTTATATAACTTATATCAATTTGGCGAGTTGCATTGCCCAAGCGTGTCAATTTTTGCATACGCTTTTCCAACACTGAACAAGTTGTTTTTATATGCTCTGTTTTTTTTTTTTATTTTCGTTGCCTGATTGCATCACACGTAATTCGCGTATATCGTGCAGCTCAAGTTGCTGTGTCAATTTCGTAAAAAATAATATATATATAAAAATATATATACTGGTATATTTTGCGGCATGTTGACAAACCAGTTGGGACGCCAGATTTCAGTTTTCAGATTTCATAATCGAAAACCCAAAAAAAAAAAAGAAGATAAATCTATTAGTCGCAGCCAAATGTGTTAACCATTATGCAAAACGATCTTCATGGCTGCAACTCTGCACTTCCCACTAGGGAAGTGAATACCTAAACGTCTGCTCACGTTTGTGCAATGCTTCCTGTTGACATTAGCTGCCCCGTCGGCCCCACACACTTTAACCTCGCCGACACAGACACGACTCTATGGAAAATCTCTTGGTTTGGCAAATCAAGTTCAAAATGTCAAGTTTGTGCAGTTGCAAGCGGCGGCTGCAGCGACGCCCCCGCTAGAGGAAGCTCAAGAGCTGCAACAACAACAACAACTGAAACAACAACAACAAGAGCTTAGGCAGCGCCAGCTGGCCGCGTGGTGGTGCTTGAACTCGAAATGAAAGTGAAAATACGCTGGCAACGCCGGCAGCGACGACTGCAGCGCAGCTGAGCGCAAAAAGTTGCCAACTCTTACTTTCAAAGCTGCTGCTGCTGTTGTTGTTGTTGTTGTTTCTGCTGCTGCTGCTTTGTCTTTGCTGCTTCGTTGACCACACAACAAAAACAACAGAGAACGGCTCAGTTGCGGCAAGGCGACTGCGAGATGCTCTGTCTGCTAAGTTGAAATATTTATTCGACAATTAAATATTAGTCGAGGCAGAGACTACATCTGTTCTTAATAGATTTTAGAGTTAACTTTTCACAAATTTTAAAAAATTTGCGAGTGAAAGAAAATACTTTAGCAAATGTTTTGAACATTTTAAAGTACTGTTGAATGACTTATAAAAATTATGTGCTTCTTAAACAAGAAGGGGTAGAAAAAATAGAAGAAGCGCTTTAAATATAAAGTATAATTTTTTCAATACATTGAATTATATTAATAATATATGCAATAAAGTTGAAACTCGAAAAAAAAATTAATTAAAATCAAAATACTTAAAGTACTTCACCGGAAATGATTTAACTGAAATGTGAAACGTTTTGCAGCACAAGAATAGAAAAGGGTATACAAACAAACTCTCTAAAAAGAATTCATATAGTGGACATTAGAATTTTTCTTTATATACATATATATATATATATATATATATATATATATTTGGCTTGATTATTATCAGAAAAATCTACCATTAAGCCTCTGCTGCAACAATGAACTTAGCCAGTGCTGTAAAGCTATCCAAACTACATTTCGATAGCTGATAGTCAGTAATATCGATAGTTTCAAATACATTCGCAGCGTGTGAAAAAGAAATTGAAAAAGCAAAATTATAAAATTCAAATTAATTACAAAATTCGCTAAAGCATTTTTATAACATTTGATTTATTGCACATGAAAATTGCATTTTATTTAACAATATCGTAAAAATTGAATTCAAGCATGCATAATTAAAATTCGGCAATTATTTATGGATGGGATCATGTGGTTAAGCTGTTTAAATGAATGTAAATGCCTTGCGCTTTCCATTAAAGCGCATTGGCTGCAAAAGCTGCTTGGCTTTGCTTTTATTGCGCTTTTTCATTGCAGTCATTCATTTCCTTCTATCGCTTAACGTAAAAATAACTTTTAAAAAAAATGCACGAAAATTTTGCAGCAGCAAAATAAAAGCAAATGCAACTAAATTTGCCGCTTTCCAGTTGCGCAGCGACTTTTATTTTGTTAACTGGTTTCATGAAGCTGCTGCCAAAAGTCAGCTGCTGCTGCGGTTTGTGACCGAGGAAACGCGTGATGCTGCTGCTGCCGCTGCTGCTGCAACAGATGCAGCATCAACTGCAGCAGCAACAGCAGCAGCAGAGTAAATTGGTAATTTGCAATTAATTTGCTGTCGGTTTAATGCGCATTTAATGCACAAATCGTTGATTAAAGCTGTCAGATGAAAGCTCATTTGAGCGTTTAGCTGTGGCTAATGGTCTGGCACGCCCACAAATGCCGCCTCTGGCAGCAACCGCAGCACTAATAGCTATCTATGCACAGGATAAAACACACCCACATTTATTGTCATGCCTGCGGCCATTAAATGGCCAAAATGCCAAAAGGTTTTCTTTTATATTTATTTTTGTGTTGTCTTTATTTTTTCTTCTTCTTTCTGCTTCTTCTTGCAGGCAATTAAGGAAGTAATTTGTGGCCAAAGTTGTTGCTGTTGTCGTCGTCGTCGTCGCAGTCGCAGTCGTTGCAAGATCATCAGCCAGCAGCCGTCATGAATGCAACCACATGAAACGTCGGCTGTTGAAGCGTCAACAGCAATTGCCATAATTGCCATTGGAGCAGCAAAACATACACCAAACACACACACACACACACATAAGCTCACTCGCTCGCACACACCTTCACACACATCCCAGAGCTGCAGGCAAGGAGTCCAATAACCGCACCACCAGCTGAAACTCGCCACACGAGATATTCGCGGCAGGCACAAAATCGAAAACCAATTGCCAGCAGCAGCAGCAGCGGCTCCTTCAACCGAATTGTAACAGCGTCAAGCGTGGAGCGTCGGGCGCCGGAAAATCCCCAAAGCCTAACAAAAAAATAAATAAAATAGAAATAAAAACGCAGCAGCAAACCAGTGGAGTGGGGATCAATGAACGCGGCACGCAGCAGTTGCCAGCAACAACAACAACAGCAGAAGAAAAGCGAAACGGGCCAGCAATTGGCTTGGCAACGTTCAAGTTCAAAATCGCCATAACGATTGTAACTGCAACAAGCAGGAAGTTGCACAGCTGCACCTTAATTGGGCGCAGTGTCATTACCACCACATCCAGAAGCACAACCACACACGCTCATCCCCGCTCAATGTAAAATGTTAGTGACCAACAAGAGCCACCACAACAGCAACAACAGCAACAACAACAGGAGCACTAGTTGCCACTGCAATTGGTCCCGCCTGAAGCTCAGCCTGCTGCTCATTAGCTGCCTGCTCTATGATGGCCAAGTCGAAGCCTTGGCGCCCAGCTCAACGGTATCGTCAGCGCTGCTAACGGGCCAACAGTTGGCGCCGTGGCAAACCACCGCCGCCTTTGCCACCCAGACAGCAGCTGCCACGGCGGCGCCCGCAGCGCGCAATCTGTATGCGCCGTATCAGACCTTTAGCCAGCAGGATGATGTCAGCTTTAAGGATGTGCGCCAGCGTAACGATGGCAGCCTGGTGCAATCCTTTGGTTCCTATCGCACGGCGCGTCAGTCGACGGCCGGTGCCGCACAGCGTCGCTCCGATGTCGAGATCATTCCGGCGCCCAGCGTGGAGCTGCCCCAGAGCGAGCTGATAACCATACCCAAGCAGCTGGTGCCCACGTTGCCGGAGAATGTGACGCGGCAGGGACGCAGACGCAACTATATGTACATACCGCTGCAGCCGGAGGCGGATACAAGCGCTGCCGCATCCCTGCTCCAGCTGCGACCCAGTCGCAATGCCACGCTGTCCGCGCTGGGACCACCAGCCGAAGGCATTGCCGCAGTGGCACATGAATTTGGCGCCGAGCTGGCAGACCAGGCAGAGCAGCAGCAGCAGCAGCAAACAGCACCGGAACGCACCGAGCGCAGCGATCTGGTGGCTGCGGCCAGCTCCACGGACAAGCTGGAGTATGCTGAGCCGGAGCATACCAGCCGGCGGGTGGGCTTTCAGTTTCCCAGCTACAGCCTGAAGCCGTCCAATCCGTTCTATCCGCAGGGATATCGCGAGGACAGCCCCATTTTCGAGGAGAATATCGGGGGCGGCGGCTACGATCCGCAGCCCTTTAGCGAGGATGCCGCGCCCACACAATACGAGACGCACGAGACGCGCCACACGCGTCAATTGTACTTCGACTCGGATGTCTCGCCATCTAGCTTCGAGTTTCCCGGCTTGGTGGCCAACTCCAAGCCGCACACACTGAATGCAGCTGTGGCGGCGGGCAAGCATTATCGCGATGATGTCACCAAATTTGGCGATATCAATGGACCCATCACCGCAGTCCCGGGGCGTTTGCAGCGCGGCCTTTACTTTGGCGATACGGATTTCCGCACCGGACCCAGTCCCATGCGTCAGTTCGGGCCGCAGAAGGCGTTCAATGAGTATGTAGCACCCGGTGACTATCAGAGCTCACGCAAGAGTCGTTATTTCCCATACAAATCATCACGCAGTCCCAGAGTTGTGTTCCCCAGCAATGACAATGTCGGCACCACCGGACCAAGCGGCTCCAGCGCACCATCCGGCACGGGAGTCTACTTTAGCGACAATATTGCTTTCAGGTAAGCTTAAATATTAATATTAATAGTTTAGCTCTTATAAGCCCTTATACGGAGGGAGAGTAAAGAGGCTTTAATAGCTTTCTTTGTGTTGTAATGAAGTAATGATCCCAAACAGAGCTTTTTAAAATATAGCTTTAGAAATATAAAAAGGAAACCTAAATTTCCATGTTCATTAAATGATGTAATCAAGTATTGGGAGGGAGACAGGAAGAGAGAGCGAGAGTCACGTAGTTCTTGATTATTCAGTGTTGGTAAGCGAAACTATGTTTTGAAGCTAAGCTAAGCTCACAAATATTTAGAAGATTGTCAACGAAATAAAATAAATTCATAGCTTCAGTATTGTGCCGAACATTATTGATTATATAAGAAGAAGATTCTAGAGAATAAATCAGGATTTTTCAACTTTTCAGTGTTGGTAAACGATGTTAGCAGCAAAACTTATCATTTATGTATTAAAAACTAAAGAGAAGGCATCTTAAAAGGAACGAAATAATCGAATTTCCCCTTTTACCAAATAGCTCAATATATTTATGTGTTTCTCCCCACAGAGATCAAAACTTTGGCATTAACGAACTGGCTGCCGTTCAGGATGTGCGCAACGATTTTAATCTACAAGATTTGGACAGCGCCGCTGAGGCCACCAGCAGCCCTCAATCGGCCAGCACATTCAAGGAGAAAGGTAAGCGTCAGGCAGGGTCTGTAGCTCAAAGCCCGTTTGCTTTTTTCGCTAAGTTAAGCTTCAGTTAGTGTCGCTGCTGGGAACTGCTTGCACTAGGCCTAATTCTCCCAAAACGAATACTACCCTCAACCACAATCACACACACCTACACACACATATACACACCACCACATGTTGCTCATCTACATACATGAATTCCCCAACCATTTGACAGTCGACACCACAACGGACATGGAGTGCCAGCATCGCGGCGGTACTTGCGAGTTCTTTTTAGGCTGCTGGATATCCGGCGGCCTCATACAGGGCACCTGCAATGGATTGCTGCGCGGCTGTTGCCATCGCACGGCCAAGTCGGCCAATTTGCGCAGCTCGGACTATGTGGGCAATACGGTCGATCTGACCGATCTACCGCAAAAGAACTATGGACCGGTCAACAACGAACCCAGTGAGTGTGGCTGCCTCAACAACAACAAATACAAAAAAACAACTACAAGTCCATGCACGTGCACACTAAAAACAACAATTATTTAGTTTACACAACAGTTCAGCTTGCTCTATGGACTAAATCGAAAAACATTAAATAAAATGTAAAAACACAAGAGTTCATTTCGGTTTGTCGTAGCTTAAATACCCTTGCAGAAGCACATACAAAGAAATTTTTTAATTATTTTTAGAGCTTGGCAGTCGAGAGTTAACTTATTTGAACAAATTTTTACTTAAACTGTAAGATAGTTGGCTTTGAAGTTATAAATATTTTCATTAAACAGCTCTTAGTTTTTATCCGATTTTCTTTATGTATGCTATTTAAAGCAAATCAATTTCCATATAATTTTACTTTTATTTCAAAAACATTAAAGTTTTACACAGTCATATTCAAACTAATAGCTCATACGGCTATATAAAGAAAATAGTTTATATGGGTTTTCCCCGATTTACTAGGAGCAAAAAGATTTTTATATTTATGATAGAGCATTTCGAAGTGAGCTATTTAATAAAGTACTCAGATTCAAGCAACAACAACATAGCTCATATTCTCATATATTTTTGGAGAAAATAAGGTTTTTTCAAATTGAAAATAAATATATCTTGGATCATAGAAGAAAAGCAGCTGTATATAGTTTTAATATATATGTGTTCGATGGATAGAAGAAAAGCAGATTTTCCAAGTTTTATGAGAAAACAATATAAACAAATATATTTATATGGTTAACCATAGACCATAAATCCCTCTGCAAGGGTATTTGTTAGACGAATTATTTTAAAAATGTTTTTGCATGCCTTACAAATTTAATTTGTTGTATTAACTGCGTTTTGTTATGCCTATTATTTGCTTTGTTTTTGTTCTTAATTTCGTTTTTGATTTATTTACTTAGTCTTGTTATTTGCGCACCATGTTCGTAGCTATATTGTCTAGTTTCGATTGCTTAAGCTGCAAATTTATTGTAACTGGAAAAAAAACACGCTACTAAAAACAAACGCCTCGCCCAATTATTGAAGGGGGCGAACGAAAATGGCGCCAAGTGCAGAGTGGGGGGGGGAAAACAGCAGAGGAAAAACCTTTTGCCCAGCATGCGCATGTTTTATTACCAAGACTTAATGACAATTAAGCCACATTTAAATATCATTTAACGGCATGCCGCCAGTGAGCTCCATGTTCCAACCAACCAAAAAAAAAAACAAAAAAAAGTGACTAGAAAGTTAACGCTTCACCAGCCCGCACGCACCACCCAGCCCACCACCGTCACCACCCCCCCCCTCTCTCACACACACACAACGCAACCACAACGAATTGCGGGCAGTTCCAAGCGGCGTTTTTTTTGTTTGTTTGGCTTCATTTGGTTTGCGAGCTCCACCTGCCTCAAGCTACACTCACCTTAACGCTTCTCTCACCCTGTTGCCTTGTTGCTACCACTAACTCTTTGTGCTGTTTTTATTTGTTAACCTTTGAACTCTCTAACCCGCCACACTCTGTGCATCTCTGTCTCTCTCTCTCTCTCTCTTCTTCTCACTCTCTTGCTCTCGCAGGTTGCGGCATTTCGCTGGCCAAGCAGACCGCACAGCGTCGCATTGTGGGCGGCGATGATGCCGGTTTTGGCTCCTTTCCCTGGCAAGCCTACATACGCATCGGCTCCTCCAGGTAAGCATAATAATTGACTGCCCCGCAGCCAGGTCATAATTTGCGGCTGTTTTGCAGATGCGGCGGCTCGCTGATCTCGCGTCGTCATGTGGTCACCGCCGGTCATTGTGTGGCACGTGCCACGCCCCGTCAGGTGCACGTCACGCTGGGCGATTATGTCATCAACTCTGCCGTTGAACCGCTGCCAGCGTACACCTTTGGCGTGCGCCGCATCGATGTGCATCCATATTTCAAGTTTACGCCGCAAGCGGATCGCTTTGATGTCTCCGTCCTGACGCTGGAGCGCACCGTGCACTTTATGCCGCATATAGGTAGAGCGACTACTGGACTAATCCTCTCTAGAACTTCACTGAATTCCATCTTGCCCTTACAGCGCCCATTTGCCTGCCCGAGAAGAACGAGGACTTTCTGGGCAAGTTTGGCTGGGCTGCCGGCTGGGGCGCCCTGAATCCCGGCTCGCGACTGCGTCCGAAAACGCTTCAAGCGGTTGATGTGCCCGTGATCGAGAATCGCATCTGCGAGCGCTGGCATCGCCAGAACGGCATCAATGTGGTCATCTATCAGGAGATGCTCTGTGCCGGCTATCGCAATGGCGGCAAGGACTCGTGCCAGGGCGACTCGGGCGGTCCACTGATGCATGAGAAAAATGGCCGCTGGTATTTGATAGGTAAGTGCGGGGCCCGGTCTTAAAGATGAGCTTCAAGTTTAAGCTGTGTTTGGTTTTTGCAGGTGTCGTTTCGGCGGGCTACTCCTGCGCTTCGCGTGGTCAGCCGGTAAGTGTTTATATCCCAGAGTCCCTAACTAATGCCAAAAGATTGTGAGGGGAAAGGGAACGGATAGCCGATCCTCCCTACTCTTTCTCCTACTCCTACCTAAAGGTTCTACGTTGACTTAAGGCTGTCTATCTAACCCAAGCCCTTCTTTCTCAAACCCAACCTAACTTTACCTACTCCAAACTAACTTTGTCAAACCTAACCAAAATTTTTTATTTTTTAGGGCATTTATCATCGTCTGGCCTATACGGTGGACTGGATATCCTATGTGGTTGGCCTGACAGCCAATATTTAAGCTATGTTGCACAAGTTGCTTGTGTCTTATTTATTCTTAAGCCCAGCTTGCAGCAAGCCCGAAAACATTTTGTACATAATTCACTTTCCCAGCTATGTCTTCTATCGAGACTTTCGCATTCCTTTTATCTTATTTATGCATACTTTTAATAATTTTCAACAAATTTCGCGCAGCGCCCCATAAACAAAAATTCTATTATAATTGAAGAGGAGGAAACTGCGTATATTAGAGCTTAGTAGCTACAAGATATCGGTTGGGATATCTATTGGGATATCATTTGGGATATCTGTTAAGCGATTTTCAAATTAAACTTTAAATTAATTAATAATTAATTTACTTAGTCATATGCGCTGTTACGTAATTTTAAACTATTTATGAACTAATTGTGTGTAAATAAATTATGTAAATTTTGAAAAAATCTCGTTGGATATTATTATTTAATTATTATATATACTCAACAATTATCGACTTTTTGAATTGTTCTTGCTGTTCATTGCTTGAAGGGAAAACGAGGTAAATATAGCGGCGAATATGGCAGGCCAGAGGCATAGGCATGCTCCGCATCCTGGCAAAATTGTGCGCTACGCAAAGCCTGCTCTTGCATTACCCGAAATAGGGTGAAGACTTCATGATAGATTTTATAATAGATCACTGCACACAGGCGCACATGTTACTGGGATTAAGGGTATAGAGAACTTTTAAGAGAACTTACCTAGCACAAGGGCGAAGACCAGCAAACACATCAAGAAACTGGACAGATCAATGAATAGGCCAGCCATGGCATAGAATATACCCATATACAGACCAAATCCGAAAACAACTCCGTGAAATATCAACCAGGGATACAGCAGGCAGCTTGAATCCTGTTAAACAAAGGGAATATTGGTTAAAATGGGATTGCCAAGGATTCTGCTAATTGCAACTACATCTATTCATATTAAAAAAAACAATGCATTGCAAATATTTACAATGAAGATTACCTATCTGGCAAGCTTTCTTAAAGAAATACATTGCATTGCAAATATTTACAATGAAGATAACCTATCTGGCAAGCTTTGTCAAAAGTAATCATTTAAATAAAATATATATGAAAACGTTATTGAAAAATAAAATAACTTGTAAGTTCATGTTAAATTTACAATGAACATGCGTAAAAATACCCTTCAATAAAGCAGGTCCGTCAATCTATCTAGATCTTTAGCTTTTCCAAGCTATTTCTTGTACTCACCCGAGCCACGCCAATGAGCAGCAACAGGCTGACGCCCAAGTTAATCAATGACATGCCATAGGCGACTGTACTAAATGCAGCCAATACTAGGGATGCACAGGTATATAAGACATATAGAAATAGTGCAGAATAGTAAATAGAATAGTTACGATTCATTAGGAGCTGCATTTCCTTGTCTGTGGCCTGGTGTAGCAGCAATTGTTTAATCAGCAATTCGACATCTGGTTGCATATTTATGATCATCATGGAGCTAAAGATCATCACGCTTGATATGATGACACCCAGCCAGCCTATAATAATGGCATTATACTTCAGATTCTGGCACTGCACATACGCAATGCTGCTGGCATGTGCGGCAGCAATTCCCTGGGTGGCAGCTTTTGCTGCTTGTGGGTTGCAAGCCATCGTTATTTAATCAGAGCAAATAAACTATTTGAATTTCGAATCGGCTTATATTTAAACAAAAAAACGAAAATAATATATATATATATATTTTTTAAGTGTATATAGAACTTGTTTTAACGGAAGCAAAAGTGTTTATGGAGGTTTGTAAGTTTTTGGGGTTTTTAAGGTTTTTGAGTTTTGTGTGGTTTTTGTAGTTTTTCAGTTTGTGTTTGTTTAGTGACAAGCACCAAAGTTGACAGCCCAGCGAAACGCCTGCTGCCTGCTGCGCACAAAAGTTGAAATATATTTCAGCAGCATTTTTGATATGCTAATATCCGCCAGAGCAGCGGCAGCATCATCAATAAGAGTTTACTTTTTAGAAAGTTACATAAAAGAATGTCTTCCCCACACCTGCCCACCGTCTGGCACGCAGTTAACCCAAAAAAGAGCAGCTACTACCTTGTGCCAGGGCAGAACTGCTCCCATTTCCCATAGAAAAGCAAAATATGTTGCATGCAAGCAGCTTCGTTGTTGTTCTTCTTCTTCTTCTTGTTATTGTTGCAATTATGTCGCATAAAATAATTATAAGTCGACCTGATACAAACATTTCCTGCGTTTCGTAATAATTAGACAGACGTTGCATTTGAGATCTAGCGCCCAAGATCAAGATGTGCCAACCAGTTGGCGAGCAGAAGCTCACACGAAGCGCCAAGCTGTAGCCAAAGCTGAGACTTCAGTCTGATTCTGGCCCGCATTGCGTGCGGTTGTCGTTGCTGCTGTTGCTGCTGCTGCGGTTGCCTTTTTAGCCAATTCTCGCGGCGCGTTTTCTGTGTGTTGAGACATGCCACAATTGGCAGCATGTGTGAAACTCTGTGTGCTGCGTGTGGCTGCAATTGAAAATTGTGCCAGCGGCTAATGCATTGACACAGTTATTATTTAAAAAGGCGTCTCTTAACCCATTTAGCTCAAGAACTCGTTGCGACAAGGACACAAGCAGCTTTGAAGCTAGCCGCCCGCCAGCTGTGTGTGTGAATCAGCCAGAAGAATCACCCAAGAACAACAGCAACAACAACTGCAAAAGTAGAGCAGCAATAATAAGAAATCTAAGTAGAAATAAGAGCGCGCTGGCAGCTCCAAATGGTAAAGCAGAAGATGACAGCAACAACAACAACAAGAGCAGAAGCAGCAGACACCACAAAATAGACGACATAAAAGTGAATAAGAAAATGTCATGCTTTCATTAACAGCAACAATAGCAATAACAACAACAACAACATCAACAACAATTAAGCGAAAAATAAATTCAGCTGTCAGCAAATTGTGTTAAACGCCCACAAAACAAAACAGTGACTGTGACTGTGACTGCGAAGTGTGGTCTGTGTACAAAAAAGCTGTGACTCGAAATGCGGCATTCGTGTGGCCAAATGCTTCTGTTGTGGTTGTGCCTGCTGCTCTGCCAACTAGCGCCGTTGCAGGCCAGTAAGTAAAGTCCGCTCTTGAGCTAATCCTCACCAGAATCTTGCTAATACGCTTCATACGCAACAGGTATACTCAATACGCTGCTGGGCGTGCCCGCCGAGTGTGTGCATCAGAGCGGCGTCTGGCCCTGCAAGCTGAGCTTCTCCTGCTGGCTGCAGGGTGGCAAGCATGCCAAGGGCTGCGGCAGCAACAAGTGGCTATTTAGCTGCTGCATCGCCGAGCCGCATCAGCATCAGCATCAGCATACGCATCAGTCGCCGCTGGAAAATCTGGTGGACTATGGCAAACTCAAGTTGGGTCTGAATAGTCTGCCCAAACGCATTATGTTGCGGCGACGCGACGATAACGAGCTGCTCAATCTCAAGGTAAGTGCTTTGGGCGGCTCCAATTGAGCAATTACACTGGACAACATGGGCAGAGAAAACACAGCAGCACAAGCAACATATCCATGATTACCATCCATTAGTTGGACAGACTTTTATTTATACACATCAATAGCATAATAAGAGGAATAGTGAGCGGGTTTTAGTAAGAAGAGGCCAGGTTCAATTTTCTAGCCATTTCGTGGCCGCAAAACTAAGCTAAATTCTCTCCTTAGTGCCATATTCCATGCATCTATGGCAACAAAAATATGTTCTTCATATTATTTATAGCATATCATAACTTTACCCGCACAAGCTATAATTGTAGATTGTGTAAGCGTTCTTTAAGCATTGTTGGCACTTGAGGAAACACCATAATTATCCGGTTGTAGTTTTTAAGAGTTAATTTCAAAAGTCATCAAGTGCACAGCGTGTGAGCTATGTTAACAATAAGACAATTGAGGTAATTTATTATGGAAAAACTAGTTTTATGAATTTTTGTTTTGTTGCACTCTCTGTGAAAACGCTGTGCCCAATGCCATCATTAATTATGCTGCAGAGTATTGACTAATATGTTGTTCTGTCTGTTCTAGCCGGAATGTGGACTGCCGCGCATAGCACAGAATACGCTGCAGAAGCGCATCATTGGCGGACGGCCGGCACAGTTTGCAGAGTATCCGTGGCTGGCGCATATACGCATTGCGGAGTATCAGTGCGGCGGAGTGCTGATCTCGGCTAATATGGTGGCGACGGCGGCGCATTGCATTCAGCAGGCACAGCTGCCAGATATAACCGTGTATCTGGGAGAGCTGGACACACAGAATCTGGGCCACATACAAGAGCCGCTGCCCGTGGAGAAGCACAGTGTGCTGCAAAAGATAATACATCCGCGCTTCAACTTTCGCATCACACAGCCGGACCGCTACGATCTGGCGCTGCTTAAGCTGGCCCGCCCGACGGGTTTCAGCGAGCATATCTTACCCATTTGCCTGCCACAGTATCCCATACGGTTGGTGGGACGCAAGGGATTGATCGCCGGCTGGGGCAAGACAGAGGCGCATATGGGTCATGCCGGCACCAACATGCTGCAGGTGGCCAGTGTGCCCATCATTTGTAAGTACAGTGAATACTCCATATGAATAAGCCAGATCTGACAGTCTTAAATCTACACCACAGCCACCTTGGAGTGCATTCGATGGCATGAGAGCAAACAGATCAGTGTGGAAATCAAATCGGAAATGTTCTGCGCCGGCCATTCCGACGGCCATATGGATGCGTGTTTAGGTGAGAGACAGAAAATGTGTTGCACAGTTTTAGGCTGTCGAATAACAGCGCGCTGTTGGGACGTTAACAGAGGCGCGTTTAACACAATTGTGTGAAATGCGATGTTAACAGAGCCGAAACTAACCGAAATTTTAGGGAATTTCAAAAGCTTTGTTGCTGGGAAATGCTATGAAAACTTTAAGGATCTGTTTCTCATTATCTCTCCTAAGTGCTGAAAAAATTTCAAGGATAAATAAATTCCTAGACAGTTTCTCAACTAAATTTAAAGAACAACTCCATAATCCCCTCAAAGTGTTCTGCAGATCTGCCAGAAACTAAATTTAATAGTATTCGCTAGCTCTTCAAAGCATTTTTCGCAAAACTAATAAATGTCAACTTGAGATATATACGAAATTGATATAATCTGATAATCTGATTGCATTACTTACAGGTGACTCTGGCGGTCCGTTGGTCATCAAAGAACGTGGTCGCTTTGTGCTCGTGGGCATAACCAGCGCCGGTTTTGGCTGCGGCGTCGATCATCAGCCGGGCATCTATCACAATTTGCAGAAGAGTCTGCGCTGGGTGGAAGACGTCGTGGCGCACAATGAGCTATAGCCAGACAAATGGCAGACTGAAGCGACGGCTCCCCGGGGATGTGGCAGCGCAATCTCATTAGTTTATGGCGTCTAGCATTAAGCAATGGCCTGTGCAATGACAACAACGGCAGCAGCAACAACAATCATCAGCATGAAAACGAAATTACAAATTACAATTTATTAGATTTATTAAATATTATTATGTAGCTAATGTAAGTGGGTGTAGTTGCCTTTTTTGGGTCTTCAGTTGGGTGTGTGGCACAATGAACGACCTTGAACGATGGCTGCAACTGTGCATTTGGAATTTTCAATTGAATTACGCACTTTTGCAACACGTACAACAAAATTTGCTTTGTTATGTCATTTGGTATTCGCTGGCGCTGGCGCTGGCGCTGGCCCATTTCCCATTTAGTGTTCGTTGGTGCTGCCATAAATGGCACAATCAACCGCTTTCAACTCAACAGGCAACCAGCGACAACAACAACAAAAACAACAACGAGCAGCAAATAATAATCATAATTTGTACATTAAACACATTAAGACTGGGCCAAGTCAAAGACTCGACGAGTGTCATCTGCCAATTGCCCAATACTAGTACTTAAATTGTGTTACGTTCGTTTTGTATACCCTGTAGGCACAAAATATTGAGTGAGGGTATGATTAACGTGCACGTGACAAAAGTTTGTCAACAAATTGAAGCTTCTTAAATGTATTTGAAGCTTAGTTGTGTATTTTTATATACAAAATATGATCAATATCGATATCGAACTCTGGTTTTTAAGGTACATAATGGATTATAGAAGCTAGTTACATATTTTAGTATAGAATTTGATTCAAAGATATTCTAAGAGCAACTTTCTTTTTTTTTTTAGATTTTAAATTCGCCTTTCCCCATACGATTATAATTAAACATTTTCATTTTCAGACACCCTCTGCAGGAAATGAGATCATTTTTATTGTATATTTGCAAAATTTAACAATATTTTGTGGAAATATCTTGAATTTTACGCTTGAGCGCTCTCTCATTTAATTTTGGAGCACTTTTACAGGGTATCTGGTAGTCGAGCATGCTTGCTTAGCTTTATAATTGTTTTCTTTGTTTATCAATTTAATTGTGTCTCAAGTGTGTCATCAATTTTGCGGCCAATAATCATCGAATAGTTTTCGATGAACCCCATCATCAGGCAGACTTAGCCATCAATTATTTGGGCTTTGTTCGTTTTGATGGCTTTTCAATTTTCAATGGAAGAAAATCACATATGTTGCTGCTGTTGATTTTTCACGCATGAGATAAACTGGAAATAAGATGTTAAGCGCGTTTGGCTTTCGCTTGGCTGCCTGACTGCCGCCAGTCGTGTCTGCTGGTTTTTCCTGTTGCAATTTGTACGATTTGTTGATTTTTCGACGGCTCTTGGCTAAAATTACATTCGGCAGTCCACAAAAGCCAAATTGATGGCAACATGTGAGGTGCGAGTGAAACAATTCGACTTCCTCTTTTAATTTTTCTTTTGGTGTACAGCTCTAAATTTGACATTAGTCATGGCAGCAGCAGCGGCAGCGGCAGCAGCAAGAGCAGCTTAGCGACAGGCGACATGCAATTGCCAAGTGAGCGACAAAAGTTTTCGTCTCTGCTCAGAGGCCACGTCTTGTTTCTGTCTGTTTCTTTTCACTTTCGATTTCGATGCGAGTGTGACTCTCAAACACACACACCCATGCACACACACACACACACACGTACAGTCGAGAGCCTCTGTTTCACACTCTTTGGCGCATATTACTCAATAGTCAACGTTGCGACGTCTCTGCTGCTGCGGCGCTGCGTGTTGGTGAGCGTGTTGATGGCCTTTTTGATTTTGAATTTGTCAGCCAACTGTTTATTAAGTGTTTTGACGTTACCGCAAACTGTTCGCAAACGCAAAATCCGCCGCCGTGCAGTTAAAACAGTTTCGGTTTCAGCTCAAAACTACAACAACAACGTGTAAATGCCAACAAAAGACCAAATTGAAAGGGGTTAAAGAAAAAGTGCGTGACGCGTCGTCTGAACTTCACAAAAAGTTAAATAAAATATTAAAAATGGCCGCAAAATATGCACCGGGAATTATTACCAAATATTAAGCTAATTGTCGGCTGTGAATTTTATTTAATTCAATCTTAACTGCCGCCTGCTATGCAAACGCGCGATTATTCAATCAAAAACTCGCGCCGCTACGTGAATTAAGTGAAACACACAATTGCACAAAATCAGCAGACAACAAGACAACAACAACAACAACAACGACGACAACAGCGGCAACAACGACAACCTCAACTACGACAACGAAAGTATTGCAAAATGCGCGCAGTTGCATGGCTGCCGCCGCTGCCAACGTCTCTGCCGCTGCTCCTGCTGCTTGGCCAATGGCTGTGTGTGTGTCGCTGCCTCGTCGCCGCCCACGGCGGCTACAACTCCGTGTACAATGCGGTGGTCACGCCGGAGCTGAAGCAGGCCATTGACAAGGATCTGCCCAAACAGGCCAAGTTCTTCGATGAGCTTGATTGTAAGTATGCAAGTTTGTTGCCTAAGTTTGTCGTTTCGTTTGACAACCAGTTGCCTGTTTGATGATTGGTTTAACCAAAAGTAGACAAGTTCGTTGCCTAAATCTTTTGTTTTGTGTAAATAGGAAAATGACCAGGCACTGTGCAAGTTTGCCGTCTAAGTCTTTAGTTTTGTGTGGACAAAAATGTGTTCATTGTACCAATTATTGTCACAAACTTTATTTCAGCTCATTTCCCAGTCTGTTGCGTCACTTGTGTAATATAAATGGAAGAACATGCTAGAAAATATGCTACACTGTAATACTTTGTCGCCCGAATTATTCGCTTTACTAGCCATTACGCAAGTTTGTTGCCTAAGTCTTTTGTTTTTGCCATGCGCAATAGTAAATAAAGTCATTCTATAGGTAGCACGTACGAATTTGCTTTATCAGACCACTTAATTCCCAGCAAGTTCGTTGCCTAAGTCTTTCGTTTTGCGGATAGTGACTTGACATGATCAACATATTTCAATTACATAATTTGCATATTAATTAACCTTGAGCCGAGCTATCGATACGATTTCAAGTTCACATGATTCACGCCACGATTTCTACCGAACCATATGCGAATTAAGCCAGCGAAAGTAAACAAAAACTTTACTGGGTATACTACTTAGTATCACATTCTTGGCGCGCCCCAGCAGCGAGCAGACTTCATTCATCTTGTAAATGCGCACAGCTTTAATTGGACTTTCCAAAACAAACAACACAAAAACCAATTAGCTCGAGAAACGCAGGTCCAGAGTTTAAAGTTAAAACAAAAAAATTTTGAGCGGTCATTATTTACACGCCGAGCCGACATTAACATATGGCCCATTCTGCGCCCCAACGAAAGCGCATTATGCTCCATTAAAACAATTAACAAATTATTAAAAAAAAAAATGTAAAAAAAGAAAGACCGGCCAGCTAGAGCTGCATATTAAAGAAAAAGATAGCTAAAACACACGGGCATAAAATCATGCGCAAATTGCAGCACAAGTTCAATGGCATTCCGCCATGTAATATAGAAAAAGCAAAAGTCTTTTTTTTTTTTTTATTTACTACTCAAGAGCAGGAAAATCAACTGCAATTAACGACAATTGCATCGATTGCGCCGACATTCGAAAGTGTTAAACAACAACATGTTATATGCTATAGATTATAGATTATTTGTGATCAGAGCAGCTACCAAAAACCTTGACCAGAAAATGAAAAAATACGAAAGAAAAAAACCCAAATCAAAGTCAAGACTCGGTCGCTTGGCAACATGTTGCTGCGATTGCCGAGCAACAGCACAGTCGCTAGCAACTTGTTGCTGTCGCTCTTTCTCTTCAACTCTCTCACACACACACACACAAGCGCACACCTGGCGTCTTCGGCTCCGCTAGTGAAATGGCGAAATGCGAGCAAGCGTCTTCGGCAGCTTTAGCGCAGCGCAAACACAAAACATTGGCTTAGTTCTGAGCTGAATTTCCCGACGTGCGGTCGATATTTGATTTGCGCTGCTGCAGCTGTTGCCCAGCTACGTTTTGTATAACAATTTTCTTTTCGTGCGTGGAAAAACTGTCGTTGCGCATGCGTAGCTCGGCAAGAAAGTCGCTGGGCCGCTGAACGAAAATAAAAGTGAAATCCTGCTCAAGTTTTAAATACTCAAATTACCAAATATACAAATAAGTGTAGTCCAGGATTGCGACGCAGTCGAAAAGAAAGTGAACGTGAACAGCTGCTAGCTAATAGCAAGTGTGTTTGCCCGAAAGTGAAAGTACGCGCTTGTTGCGTTGCGCTCCTCGCCAGGAGCCAGACATGTCGCGCGCCCGAACACACACGCACTGCCACATAAAGGATAAATGGCTGGGCCTGCTGCTCATCTATGCGCTGGCGCCGAGCGGCCGCAATGTCTGCGCCCTGGGCTATCCGAGCGCACAGCAGGAGCACGATATGCTCATACTGGATGCGCTCTCACGTCGCAGCGGCACCGGCTATTATGGCGAGAACAGCGTCATGGAGATGCTATCCCGAAGTACACGCTCCTAAACTATACCAATTGACTTTTGACTTGTTGTGCTTTAATGTTAATGTGTGTGTTTGTGTGTGCGTGTTAACTTAACTAATGCCCATTATTTTGGTGTCTTTGCAGTGATACCGCAATCGTGCCGCTTCCGTGGCCACAAATTCGAATGCGGCCTGTCCATCTCGTGCGTCTTGGGCGGCGGCAAGCCGCTGGATCTATGCTCGGGCGGCATGATCTGGTCATGCTGTGTCGACAAAGATCTCGATGCCGAGGAGAGTCCACATGCGGCGCCGGTCAACAATACAAGTGAGTAACAGTAACCAAGTTCTAATAGGCGCCCATTTCGCCCAGCTGCTTTCCCAATGCCTCGCATACCTCGTCCCAACAAACCAAATTTGCCATGCTTAGTTAAATGTAGCATTTGCTGCTCTTTTGCCTTACGAGCACAAATTGCAAATTGCTGCGCTTCGACTTATGCAATGCCCTGTATAATAGCGCAATAAATTAGTTCGCATTTCGAAAATGACAACAAATTGCTCGACTCTGCCTGCAAAAACACACACGCACACACACACCTACGGCCCCTAGGGCAGTCGAGGAAGAAGCACAAGAAATGCATTACTAAATTCCATTTAATGCACTCTCAGGCAGTGGGCGCTGGAGTGGAAGGTGTCAATGGTAGACCATTAAATGGGTCGTTCAGGCTATATACTCAAGCAAAACAAACTAACAAAACATCAATTTAAAATTGAATTTAACTATATTGCAGAGTTGAGCTTGGTTTTTGTTGATATAACTATAATTTATAGGAATGTATAGAAAAGAAGCTTTTTATTATCTGTGTAGCTGCCGAGCATTAGACTAAAAATTACAAGAGTTCTAGTTGCTGAACATAAATATTTTTATATATATTTCTTTTTATGACCTTGTAGAGGCTCTTATAATTTGGTCATAAAATGTGTAACGCATAGAAGTGGATTTCTCCGACCTCATAAAGAATAAATCGTTCGAAATCATTATTGTATGGGGAAATATTCTTTTTATCAAGGAATTTTTTTTTTTTTTTCAAACTCAGCACTTAGGAGCTTTACTATTCTCACATATCTGTAGAGTCTGTAGAAATGCGTATAAGGGCATTAAATCTTCAGCTTGCCGAAGATATCCCCACTTTCTCGTTTCTTTAAGAATGTCATTAGAAAAAATAAAAAACTATTTTTGAGTTATTAAGGTAGAATTATTTCTTATATCGCGCTTTATATTATGCTACAATTCAAATTCATATGTTGTTTACTTTAAACGTGATCATATAAAATCGTTTGTTTGTTTTTCTGCAAAACTTAATAGAAAATTTGCAAGCTGTTTCTTGTGCTTCTTGAGTTATGACAGTTTGTAAGTATTCAAGCGATATATTGATGAGTTGCCAATATGCCTGTGTGCTAATATTTTATAGATAAATAGAAGACAGACGCGTGAGAAGTCTGTCTGAATAACAAATCTTGCTTACAAAAACAAAAATGCATAAGAAATATTAGCACTTTATACGGGCAAAGAATTGTCAAAAAATTAAAATTGCTTAGATTTGTGCTAACAGCTCGCTAAAAACTTCGCATTCGTAAAAAAAACCCCAAAATAAATATATAAAAAAATATGTAAATAGTTATAATTATTTACTTTATAAAATTGTATATTAAATATTTAAAACAAAATATTCCCTGAACCGTCCGTTGCCATTATTTGGCTAATTTTTTTGTTTAACACCTTGTCTGCCACAAGTCTACATTTAATTATTGTTTTTTTTTTTTAGTTTTTTTTTGTATTTTTGCACTTCACATTCTCGGCTCAAAATTGATTTTGAACAAATTCAATTACCCTGAAATGCATTTGTTATAACGTAATCTCAGCCAGCAATGCGATGAGCTAAACTATAAGCAATAACAACAACATATTATGCCACACACATCGCACACACACACACGCACACATACACACGGAGCAGCGCGCTTGCCAAGCAGCTTGCTGCCATTTTGTTGTGCTCTGTTTAATTTTCTAGGCTTCTGCTGGCCAAGAAATGTGCAACAACAACTAAAACAAAAACACATTACAACATGTTGTAAATAATTCTTAGTGGAAATTTTTTCAGCAGCCCAATTTTGGCCTCATTTTTTTTTATATGTTTTTCTCTTTTTTTTTTTTGGAGGTAATTTTCGTAAAGCTCATAAAGTAGCGCGTTCTGTTTTGCCTACTCACTTTCTTTAAGGGAAAATGTGGCGCATAGTTTTTCTGGGAATTTTGATTTTTGTTATTTTTATTTTTTTTTTTTTTTTGTCTGTCTGCATGTTGCTCAAGTGTAAAATTTTCCAAAAGCCAAGCCACAGACGCGACAATGAAAAGACCCAAAAAACTAAGAAAAAATAAAAGTAAAACTAAAATCGGTTGCGGAAATAAACGAAGGTGAACGTTTTTTGCATTTTAAAAGTGAAATTTCACGTTGCTGCGCCTTTTGCCAGAGCCTGCATCAAGCTTTAATTCAGCTTGTTGTTGTTTTTTTTTTTATTTATTTGTTTGTTTTAAAATGTGGGAAAAATCACAGCGCCCAGAGTTACGGCATTTCGTTTTATACGTTCAAGTCCAAGAAACTCGGCCAAAAAATGGGGGATAAAAAAAAAGGCAGAGTGTTAATCAAGTTGCGCCGTTCTGTGGCGCTTTTTTTCTTGGCTTTTCTTTTATTTTTTATTTTTGAATTACGTGCGAAAAATTATCTCATACGTTGGTCTTTTGTTTCTGTCATGGGCTTTGGTCAACTGGCTGTGTGTGTGTGTTAGTTGTGAATTTAATTTCAACTTCATTGGTTTTGGTGACATAATAAAGTCGTGCAGGGCGCTAGCCGTAATTGCTGGCCCAGTGTTTTTATTATTATTACTTTTGCTCGAGTCTTTCACTACTTAAAACGAATCACAGCGAAAGTTGAACTCGAATTAAATAGACCCCCCTCCCCGACCCCACCCGCTCAACACACACACACACGTACTTAAACGCCTGGTTGTGCATAGAGGAAAACTGCAACATCATCATGATTCTTACACACAGGTGACATAATACACTTGCACGACATTTATCCCGACTTGTCGCCAACCGCAAACAAGCCGGCACATCATCAACCACATCACCAGACGCAACAACAGCACCACACCATCAACAACAACAACAACAATAATAACGGCCTGTCAGCGGCCTCGTCAGCACGACCCGCCTATCCCAGCCACGCCTACTACAGCACAAAACGTCCATCGCTTTATAGCGGCAATCCCTACAAGCCCAGCTCCAGCTCCGGCTCCGGCTCCAGCTCCAGCTCATCGATACATCGTCCCATCGCCTCCAGCCTGAACAGCTGGGAGCATGACGCGAATCACTTGGGCATCACCAATCATCTGGATAGTTTCTTTGATGCAGATGCGCCGCCAGATAGCGCCGCCGCGACGCGTCCAACGGCAGCACATGTGCCGCAGGCACAGCCCTTTGCCGTGGGCAATGTGCTCGATCTGAATGCGGGCGAGGCGGCGGATGAATACGAGAGTGGTGGTGGCTACAATGACGGCAGCTATCGTCCAGTGCCGGGTACTAAAAACAATTCAATTGTACCAAAACCTCTATATTATCTATCTGTTATCACTCTCTCTCCTATTCTCTTTGTTTGTTACACACTGTCTCTCTCTGTCTTTCTCTCTTTTGAGCACCACTGCAAGTTTTCCTTAATATGCACCACACAACACCACTCTGAATCACCATTTTATGTAGTTGTTTATTTTGCACGCACTTTGATCTTTGCATTTTCCTTAACTAATCCCATGCTCCTTGACTCTCCACAGGCTGCGGTGAGGTTTTTTCACGCACCAATCGGATCGTGGGCGGCCACTCCACGGGCTTTGGCTCGCATCCCTGGCAGGTGGCGCTCATCAAGAGCGGTTTTCTTACGCGCAAACTGAGCTGTGGCGGTGCTCTGATATCCAATCGCTGGGTGGTTACTGCCGCTCACTGTGTGGCCACGTAAGTACGCGCCGAGCTGAACTCTAGCCATGATCTAATCACCTTTTATATGACAGCACCACCAATTCGAACATGAAGATACGCCTGGGCGAGTGGGATGTGCGCGGCCAGGAGGAGCGTCTGAATCACGAGGAATATGGCATTGAGCGCAAGGAGGTGCATCCACACTATAATCCTGCCGATTTCAAGAACGATGTGGCGCTGATACGGCTCGATCGCAATGTGGTTTACAAGCAGCACATTATACCCGTTTGCCTGCCGCCGCCCACGACAAAGTTAACAGGCAAAATGGCAACTGTGGCGGGCTGGGGACGCACGCGGCATGGTCAGAGCACGGTGCCCTCGGTGCTGCAGGAGGTGGATGTGGAGGTCATCTCGAATGATCGCTGCCAGCGCTGGTTCCGCGCAGCCGGACGACGCGAGGCCATACACGATGTGAGTTTAAACAATTACTTTAAATGAAGTTCACATAAGTAATTCCTTATGCTCTGATTCTCTTCTGGCCAGGTATTTCTGTGCGCAGGCTATAAGGAGGGCGGCCGGGATTCCTGCCAGGGCGATAGCGGCGGGCCGCTCACGCTTACAATGGATGGCCGCAAGACCCTCATTGGCCTCGTCTCCTGGGGCATTGGCTGCGGCAGGGAGCATCTGCCGGGCGTTTATACCAATATACAGCACTTTGTACCATGGATCAACAAGGTTATGGCCAATGACAACAATGCGTGAATGCAGTTTGTATATGCCACATGCGGCTATCACTTAATCAATTGGAAGACTGCAGTCAACCGCTTGCAGTCACCCGTTTGTCTGGCCATGTGATTCCTCTACGACTCGGGGTTGCTAGTGTTTAAGTTTAAGCTCTCAATCAGTACGCAGCTGCAATTTATTTATTTTTTTTATTTTTGGTTGGATTTAACCCATTCAAGATATTCCACTCAATGCGGCTCCACTTTAATGTTAAGCACTAAACATTAACATATTTATTACAATTATTCGCATAGAGTTTCATGAATTTTAACCTAAATGTATTTTAATTTAAATTAATAATTAAAAACCAAATAAAAAATGTATTAAAAACCAAAAATTTAATTTTTGTCTTGATTAATACATTTCTCAAATATAAAATTTCATATGACCAGAGGAAAAATATATGAAAATTAAATCAAATTAATATTTCTTGAAAATTAATGAAACTGAATTTTTAAAGTATTTTTAAAAGGTTGTCGTTTGTTTAAGCTAAGTAAACAAAAGACTTAGGACACAAACTCGCATCTGATTTGAATAAAAAGCATAGCATACTTTTGTGCGCCTACAAAAATGGTGCTACCCAACACAAAAAACACTTTGAAGCAAGTTGGCAGCACTGACAGCCACAATATACACACAGTTACAACAGGTTGTGCCGCCGATTTAAATCAAATATTTAGAAAAACAAAGAAAACAAAAACCTGATAAGAACGAAAGGGAGAAGAGGTAAATAAAAGCAGTTAAATGAAAACAAACATTGGCAGCAGCAGGCAGCAGGCAGCACATCTTCCCAGAAGCGCAAGTGCCACACAGGCTGACTGTGGCGCAGGTTGGTCAACAAACAGGTGAGCCACACGCGGCATGCACAGAATTTCTAATGATGCAACTTCCGTTGTGGCTGCCACAAAAACTAACAACATGAGCAACAACGGTTGGAAAGTGTGTGGACATGTGTGTTTTGGTAAGTAGCTACACGAAATCACAACAAATAACATAATCAACACAAGATTAGCTAATTAAGCGGCTTGAGTCAGCTGCCTTATCAGGCACAGTCGCAGCTTCATTGATTGTTGCGCGCTCTCTCTCTCTCTCTCACTCTCGCATCACAAGACGCTCTCTTTCACTTTTTGGCTCTGTTATGCTCTTGGCATCCACAGCAAATAAATTCCACTTCTTTGTTGCGGCGCAGCCTGCTGTTTGCTCCTCTTGTGTCCAAAGCACTGGCCGCAACTTGTTGCCTGCTTTTGGCTGGGCCCGGCCTCAGTTGCTGTGGAGCAGCGCCAGTGTCAAGGTCTCTCAAGTTCAAAGCGTTTGTTGTGCGTTGATTGCTTAACTTAAAATTAAAAAAAATATATATACACACACACTAAACAAAAGAAAATGTTATGAGCCGCGTTTTAATAATATAAGCCACAACGCTGCCGCTAAGTAGCTGTGTGTGCCAAATGCTGTGCCATTAAGCCAAATTGATTAATTGTTTGATTGATTGATTGATTGATTGAGCGTGATTTATGCGTGTGTGCGTTGCTGTTGTTGTTGTTATTGTTGTTGTTGTTGTTGTTATTCATTGATTGCAAGTGAGCTAAGCGTAAACAAAAACAAAACGTTTTTTAAGCTGCTTAAAAAGTGCATTAACATAATCAAGCTTGTGATTTCTGAGAACTGCACAGCACAGCTTAATGGGCTGTTTATAAAAAAAGGTTTGGGTTAAAGCCTGGCAGCTTAATTAGCAACAATTGCAGGCAATTCTTATCAGCGGTCAGCATAAACAGGTATACAGAAAGACAAGCTAACAGCAGCGTTAATAAAGTTTGACTTTCTTAACCTGAAGACGTGCATAAATTATAACACAAACAAACTGCGACACACACACACACTCGTTCAGACGCACACACACACACACTCGTTCAGACGCACACACACACACAAACAAGCGCATACAGCGTCAGTTAGTTGAACAAAGAATGGCGACAGGCTCTGTGAGCAACACTCATTTGCACCACACTCCAAAAAAAAATCAGAAAAAAACAAAAAAAAAAGAAATATATATTAAAGAAAAAGCCACCGAGAGACTCCCAAGTTAACAACTGCGCTTCGCTGTTGTTGTTGTTGTTGTAGCCGCTTCTTGCTATTTTAATGTGAAAGCGCTGTTAACCCCAAACTTCAGCTGTATGGCCCCGCAGCCCGAGCCCGCCACAGCCGCTGCTAGCATACAAATGCCGCCAATCAGCTGTGGCTGTGACAACAAGAGAGCAGCGAGAGAGTGTGCCAGCAAGTGTGTGTGTGTGTGTGTGTGTTTGGCTGTTCATTTGAATAAGCAACAGCAACAACAACAACAACAGCCGCCTAGCATTTGTTGTTCTCACCATTTTGTGAACTGGCCTTAATGGAAACCGTTATGCGCCAAGCTTCAACTAGCGTCGCTGCCGCCGTCGCTGCTCGCGTCGCCGTCAGCATCGCCCGGCTACGCATGCGCACATGTTGCGGCTCTCCAAATGTGTGTGCGTGCGTGCCTGTGTGCGTTTTTGTGTGTGTGTTTGTGTGTGTTTGTTGCCTCTACAGCTACTACCAATTTAGCTTTGTCGTTCTTCAGCGCTCTGCGCTGCGCAGTCGCAAAATCTCAGCAAACAGCCGCAGCCGCGACGTCGACGGCGACTGCGACGCCAACGTTCGCGTCGGAGTTTGTCTTTGGCTTTGGCTGGCTTCAGCTGGCGTGTGGATCTTTTGTATGCGCGCTTCTCTCCAGACGTGCGCAACTCAACGCGGTCTTTGGCTCCTCTTCGTGCTCCGGCAACGACTTGCTTTGCCTTACGGTTACGTCGATTCCGTCTGTGCGCCGTCGCGTGTGTGTGTGTGTGAGCGCGCGTGTGTGTGCGTGTCAGTGTGCCTATAGAACTTGAGTTATTGGCCTCAAATTGGCTTGGCCAGTGCGTAGCTGCATAGCAAAAATTTGAAGAGTTTTGCCGCAAAGTAAACAAATTATAATCCTGAAACACAAAGGCCGACGCAAGAGTTTTAGCAGTTCTTTGATTTTTTTGGATATATATATACTAGCTATATATATACACATTTTTTGGGCCTAAAACAAAAGGCAAAGTCTGGGAGAAAGAACGCGAGAGAGGAAGAGAGAGCGCAATCAGCAACAACACACAATACAACATACAGCGTGAGTGTCAAACAAAAGCCAAATGTGAAAAAACTCATAAAAAAATATAAGAAACTAAAAAAAATGCCGCAAGAACTTAACAGCAGACACATAATTCCAACAAAAATAAAATACAATAACAACAGTGCTGGCAGCAAATTAAAAGAAATGACCCCAAAATAGTTGACAGTGAAGTTTGTCTACAGTAAAAACCCAAATAAACAAAAAGCAAGCAACAAAAAAAAAAAGATACACGCAAGTAAATGCAAAAGATACAGAGCCCAAAAATCTTTAGATGCGCGCGCACCGATGCTGTGTGTGCGACTATGTGTGTGTGTGTGTGCCAGCGCTTAAGTAGCTGCAGCGCACTTTCTACCACGTACAAGTCAATTAGAGGCACACACAAACACATACACAATAGTTGCGCATAACTGCAACTAACTGCAACAGCAGCAGAAGCAGCCGCAGCAGCAGCAGCAGGCAGCAAGTTGCTGCAAAACAAGAGCAGGCGCAACAACAAGTTCAAGCGCCTTGATTTTGATCAACGGCCAAAGCCAAACGAGTCCAAAGCAAAAGTTGCCTTGTGCTGCAAAATTTTTATTGAAATTCCTGTTAAAAGCAACAACAGCAACAAGAACAACAAGAACAACAAGCGGCAGCTACAAGAGGCAAGTGTTTCAATTGCCGCAGCAGCCAACGAGACACAAGAGCAAAAACTTCTTTTTGGAACTGGTCTGCTAGCTGTTCTTGTTGTTGTTGTTGTTGTTGCTGTTGCTGTTGCTGTTGCTGTCGCTTGGCTTTGACTTTGGTCTAAAATGCAGAGGCTCCAACGGCTGCCACTGAGCGAACTCCCCCCATTGGCAGCATGCAGCGGCGCGCCTTTGGCATTATTTGCATTTCTGCTTATTCTGGTTTTGCCAGAGATGACGAGAGGCTCAAAAGCTGCACCAGAAGCTGTAACTGGAGCTGCAGCAGGAGATGTTGCTGCTGCTGATGCTGATGCTGTGATTATACGCCCCCCAGTTGCTCCGTTTAAGTCCATGTTAATTATAATAATTTGCGTGCGGCAAAAGCAATTGAGAAATTTTGTCGTAGCAAGTTTGTGCCCTCAGTCTTTTGTTTGGCTTGCCATTTAACAAGTGTGTGTGTGTGTGTGCGTGTGGCGTGGCGTGGCGTGCCTTAACTTGGCTTTCTAGAGCTAACTGAACTAATGAACTCCCGCATCCCGCAGCTAGCAATAGACAGCACACACACACACACACACACGCACACATAGACACGCACAGTGCCAACACGTTCGAATTTCTCCAAAGCCGTTTTTGGTTAGCAGCAAACAGAAATGAAAGCCAAGTTGAGGCAGCAAAAGTGGACGCACTTCTGGTTTTGATTATGTGCGCTACCAAATATCAAATGGCATAATTCTTTTGTTCGTCTGCCGCTGCTTCCTCTTCTCGTTTTATTTGGCTAATTTGATGTGACAATATTATGCTTTCTGCATGCATTTCACTTTTCTTTTAAATAAATAAACATGTATATATTCATATGGCCCCGGAGAGTGTGTGAGAAGAGCTGCCATATAAAAAGTACAATTTGTGTGGCTTTCGCTTTTATTTAAGGCAAGTGTTATACACACACACACACACACACAAATGCCTTTTTAATAAAAAACAAACACACCAAATAAAAGTTCCCTCAGAAGAAAAAACTTGTAATTTCACTTTTAACAAGTCGAGTGGAAATAAACATCAAATTTTTATTTGCCCAAGTGGAAATTACTTAATTGTTTTCAGGCAACGCCTCCACTCGACAGACAAAGAAAAATAAAATTCATGCAAATCATCTGTGTGTGACCCAGTTTAAAGATATTCTGCGACTCACGTGCGTCTGTCCCGCCGACTGGTTTATCGACGGTAGCCACAAAGTTCATGTTAATTTGCACATTTCTCGAAATGGAACGCGAATACAATTACACGCATCTGATATTTATATGGCGAGTCAAGAACGTGACCCAAATACACAAATAGCCGTCCGGCCAAGCACACACACACACACACACAATGGCTGTTGTGTGCGCGGCGATATTTGTGTGCTTTGTAGATAGCTTCAATCTTCAATCTTTAAATCTCACAAATTTTGATGCTGAGCTGCAATTAGCTGCCGATTCTGGCACCTAATTAAAAGCAATCATCGTTGCGTTTCATGCGGATATATTTTATAGCTTCCGTTCTGGTTTAAGTTGAATTTTTTTTTTACGCGACCGCTTAAATTACATTTAATTGCGCCTAAGTCAACGCCCATTAGACAACGACGATGCTACAAAAAAGAACAAGAATGCTGCAGAGGAGCGTGCGCAACTAGCTGCTTCCCTGGATCAAGTTCTAAAGAGTTCTTAAAGTTATAAGAATAACTAAATGACACTCGAGTTGAAGCAATTGGCACATGCCAAGGCATTAACTCCGAGAATTCCGCTTGAAATTGACATGTAAAGATATCAGAAGAAGCCTAGAAAGTTGTCCGAGATCTGTCTATGGTGTACCAGAAACTAGAAACTTGCCTATCGCATTTGATATCTTTAGCTGCTTACAATTTGTAGATCTATTTTATAGAATATGCTAGGAAAACGATTATTATCGATTTTTGCGGCAGAGCCAAATTGGGGAAATAAATTATGCAAACAAAATTTAAATGCTTATAGTATGCTTATCGAGAACTATCGATTCTTACGGCAAAGCAAAGTTAGCAACATTTTTTATTAAATTTAATAAAAGTAAAAATTACTTATGAGTAATTGAAATGTGATTGACAATCGATAATTATCGATATATTTAACCATCTTTGATGGCAGCGCGCAGTTGCCAATTTTTAATTCAAGTTGCTTCAGTTCTCCTTTATATTGATAAGTAAATTATTAAAATAAGGTAGCTAATCGATAATGATCGATTTTGGCGGCAGAGTGGACTTGAAAGAATTTTTTTATATTCAATTTGATTAAAATTTTACTTTTTAATATGATTAAAATGTTTAAAGTCTTCTTAAAGTTAGCTACCAAAATATCAAAATGTGTTTGTCATCGATAATTATCGATTCATGCAGTCATAAATATTTTAATTTAATTCGATGAACATTCTAACTTCTAATATTCAATTTAACTACTCTAATATTATTAGTACCAAACTATAAAAATGTGCTTGATTTTCGATAATTATCGATAAATAGTTAGCTGCATACTATATTTTCTGAATACTTCCGTTTGTTTTACGACTACAGGGTATTAAACATAGCTAAGTTTATAACGCACTTGAAATTAATTGGAGTTTATTTTAATGACTGTTGCTAGACTTTAGCTTACAACGTTTTATGGCATTATTTTCTTTTTTGCACACGCAGCCGCATGCGGTTATAAATGCCTGTAAGCTTCAGGCAACGGTTCTGGCCCAATGTCAATGACCGTATTACGCAACGCAGCCCCTCAGAACACGAACAACAGCCGCAGCCGCAGCCGCCGCAGCAGCAGCAGCTGTTGTTGTTGGCCAAAGAAAACGCTCCAAACAAACGCAGCGCGACAGCAAATTGCTCAACGCTGCAGATCGTGACGAGCGTGTGAGCAGAGCGAGAGAGAGAGAAAGGGGGGAGCTAGAGAAAGGGAGAGAGGAAGAGAGAGAGAGGGGGGAGCTAACTTCTAATACTGCTGCTTACGAATCAATGAAACATCGTCGCCAAAGCCAGAGCACAGCGTGTGAGCCAAATGGTGCTCATCATCAGCAGGTTGGGTCTCGGTTCGGTTCGTCTCCAGTTCCAGTTAGATTCAGACGACTCATCGCTGCCGTTTCCCCCGCCGCACACCGCTGGGCATTTCTTTTTGTTGCGCTTTCTTCGATTGTTACAGTTTATGTCATCATATCTGTACATTTGTCATGGGCTGAAACTTTCTTCAGCCGAAGCAGAAGCAGCAGCAGTAGCAGCAGCCGCAGCCGCCCATCAATTAGTCGTCTCTTGAACTTTATCGCACTGAGAACCAGTTGCAAATGCTGCAACATTTGTGTCCACTCGTTGGCACCTTGTACAGTTATATAAACGCTTATACAATCCATAGTTCCCGCTCTGATGGGATACTGCGGGCCTCCATTAGCACGTTGTTGTGCGCTTTCTACGCACACACACACACACGCACACTTTTGCTTTCCATTGGGCGCTTTGGGCATGACTAAACACTCGATAACAACGACAGCAGCAGGCGCATTAGCAGCAACAACAACAACAACAACAACAATGCCGCCAGCAGGTGGCTAAATTACACATACGCCCAGTTCTCCCTACATTTATTTGCAATTTCAAATATCTTCTTGCTTGGTTTCTATACACTTTTGCATTGGGTATAATCAATTCGTCATGCTGTTAACACTCACAGCATAGCTGACTTTGCTTTGTTCAGTTTCTGCTTGTGCTATAGATGATGTATATGTAGAAAGTACATAGTTCTGCGTTGGGAATTTAAATTTAAAAGCTTTTTAGCTTGGGTTTTACATTGTAATTTACTTGCTTCTATTTTCTATATAGAGAGTTAGAAAAGGATAAAAAGCTGTCTTGAAACAGATCGAATTTTGATAAGATTTTGCTTTCAAAGAATATATTTAAAATTTGCCCATGCAGTAAACTTTTTAGGAACACGTTCCTTAAACTAATTCTTAAGTTTTTTGTACAGTAGTCACTCTAATGAATGGCTCCGCTGTGCCTTCACAAGCTCGGCTAAATTCTCAGCAAGTTTTCCGCACAATTGTTAGGTAACCTCTGAAGCGTAGCCTGAGTTCGTTGTGCTGTAGAAAGTCTTTCTCGCCTTCTAGAGTTTTGTTATTATTTTATGTATTTTTAAACAATTTTTGTTTTTTTTTTTTTTTTTTGCATATGCAAGTCACTCGAAACGAACGACTTTCACCTACTTGAAGAGCTTGAGTCACCCAATGCTTCTACGCACTTGCTGTCTGAATGTTTTTGTGTTGTTGCTTTTGTTGTTATATTTGCCGTGCCCATGGCTTGTGTGGTAGAAATTCCGTGTTTAGTTTTAATTTGAATACGGATAAGGCCCGTAAAACGTTTCACATTCGCCGCAATGACTCATAAATAAATATGTTTATTTTCCATTTGCAGATGGGCGCGTTGCAGCAGCACCAGCAAACTTACAGATACAGATACGCAGCCACAGATACGGCAGCGGCAACGACTGCGGCGAGCAAAAGTAGAGCAGACAGCGCAGCACAGACCGCATCGATCAACGCCAGATCAAGCAGCAGCAGCCCGAACACCATGAGCAGCATCTTCATCCTGGCGCTGGGCAGTCTGCTGCTGTTGCTGCTGCCCGCACTGGAAGCCAGTCCCATCTTTGTGGATAATCCCAGCTTAGCGCAGTGTAAGTAGCTAGCTTTATGAAGCTGTCAAATTGGGCGCAGCAGCCACCTGACTGCTCTTGGCGGGCATTTCTCTGGCATCACTCAAGAAACTTATAAAGACATCACGCAGCTGAGCCCCTGTTGACGGGTTTTCCACAGAACTCCAGCACTTTCTCTCACGTAGGCTATTAAAATGCTTTTTACTTGATATTTTTTCTCTTCTCTTTTTTTTTTTGGGGCGTGAACCATAACAATGAAATTGAATAAAAGCGAATGCAAGTTGTGAAAATTCTACGGCGGGGGGTACGAAAGGAAATGGAAAGGAAATTTTATTTAAAACATTTTATGTGGACTGGCAGATAATGAAAATTATCTTTGCGTTGATAAGATTTTGTTGTTGAGAAGATTTTGAAATGTTTTGATACATTTAAAAGGTTTTTTTTTAAGATAGCCCAAAAGCTGAGAGACTCATTTACATAAAGACAAGCAGACAGACAACTCAATTTGTTGTCCTGATCGAGAACATAAGAAGTTTATCGATTTAGAGTTAAACTCAATTAGAAAATCATCTTAATATATATCACGTACAATTGCTGTGTAGAATGCAGCTTAAGAGCAGCATCCAAATTTGAGTTTAATGGCCTACAAATTTATTACCCTCTCAGCACTTAAGGAAAACTAGAACTAAAACTCTAAAATCTGTTGATGGCCATGTAATTTGTGCTCGGCTCGCTCAAAGAACCAGCATCGGTAGCTAGCTAAACTAAAAGTCCATCAAATTTGATTGCCAAAATATAAAACGAAAGACTCAAGACACAAACTCGTTTTGTTTGGCTTGAATGGCCAGAAGTTGCGAGCTGTAGCTGCTCTCATGTGGCGTCTCAAATGAAAGTAATCAAAATTAATGATGCACAGCGACAGCGACAGGCGTTGCGCATTGAGCATGGTTTAATTGGGTCACAGCCATTAAGAATCAAATTTGGACGCGATTAGCACTTCCTCTGGCCGGGGATGCCATAAGACATGTGTTAGCAGCAACAGCTGCCAATTTGTCGACAACAATGAGCAGCGCTTGAGGCAGTTACAATCGCTGTCGCTGTCGCAGTCGCCGTCACAGTCGCAGCATCCGCAGCTCAGAGATCGCGAGAGTTTTGTTGGGCAACAAAACTACACAACTTTCTTGGTTGAAAAGCAAACACTGAGCCAAAACTGGCAATGCCGGCAAACGGCCAAACGTCAGCGAGCAAAAGCAATTGAGGTCAACCATCAAAGAATGTTGCCATAAAAATGAGCCACCAGCGCAGCCGCAAGAAAGCGTGTGCCAGACAACAACAATAACAACAACAACAAAGGCAGCAACAGCCATTGGCAGTGGCTGCGCTAAGGTGGCAAGCATTTCATTTTTATGACTTGCGACTGGACCAGAGCTGACCAACAGGCCATAACAACAACAACAACACGAACAACAACAAAAGGCATAATAATAAAAAAGAATATATACATATATTTTGTACTTGCCTCTATAGACAGCAAGATGCCGCGCAGAAAGCGGAAAGTAAATTGACGCCAAGTGAAAGGGAAATAAATATAAAAACAATGCCAGCCCATGAACTCATTCTCAGCGCTCTGGTCAGCACTCTAACACTAACGCCCCACGCCGGCCACGCCCTGGCTTGAGGTCATGACGCGCCTGACCCAATTTCCAATATATAGACGCCACGATCAAGTCGCCCACAAAAGTGTGGCGCGCAGCAGCGTCGCATTCGCATGCCAAAAACGAATATCCGACATTGCAATGCGGGTCTCGGACCACGCTGGGCCACGGTTGCTCTGGCTGGCTGTTTGGTAGGCTGTCAGTGTGCTTGGCGAGTGGCTAGCGAAACATATGCTAAGCTGTTGACCCAAAAAGCCACAAAACGAAATGCAAACACAGAACCAGGCGAAGAGCAAGAGCAAGAAAATGAAGAAGCCAGCCCGATGAAAAAGCTGAGACGTTGACGCCAACGCCAGACGCTGACGCTGCGCTGTGTCTATGAAACGTGACAAAGTTTTGACTACAGAAATTTAATCAAAAGTGTGTGCGTGTGTGTGTGTGTGTGTGTGTGTGTGCCGGTATTCGATTTTCGGTGCTGTCTGTGCTTTATGTTGGGTTCTTGGCCACGGTTCGTGTCTTAAGTCATTTGTTTTGCGCTGGCTCCTACAATATATCAACATTTCGTGTTAATTGCATAACCAATAAACTCTTGTATACATCAACTTTACAGTTAAAGTTCAATAAACGCAAAGCACACACACACACACACACACACACGTACACACTCAGATGAGGCGTGCTGCTGCAATGCTTCTGATTTAACATTGAATTACGAGCAAAATTCGCACGAAATTTATACGCCATGCAACTTGCGCTTAACGTGTTGCCTGTGACACGGCAACTGCCACTGCGAGGTTTATTTATGATCGCGCGAAGTGCAAACATACAAAAGGTTCTTTACAGGCGGCGCCAAGTTTGTTGCTTAAGTCTTTCGTTTGGGGCGACGCACTCACTCACTCTCTCTGCCTCTCTCTCTCTCTCTCTCTCTCGCTCTCTCTCTCTCTCTCTACGTGTCGCCTGCAATTACATAAGTTCAAAGACTGAACGCACGACAAACTGGGCTCCATTACAAAATATGGCCACAGCGCACACGCTGTTGATGCTTAAAGAGGCAATTCATAAATAAATAAAAAGAATAATAATAATAATAACGCTACTGTTGCCAATGTTGTTGTTGCTGCTGTTGTTGCCGTGTTGCCTCATCGGGCTCAAGCGGACGCCCTTCAGCAAGCTTCATGCCGCTGCTTTTTTATGGCCTGTTGAAGAGGCTGCCGCTTGTTGTCGTTGCTGCTGCTGCTGTTGTTGTTGCTGTTGCCACTTCATTTTCACTTGTGTTAACTGTTTGCCTAACGGTAAACGTCTGCCTCAAATTGGCGTACAAATTGAAGGCGTTAATCGCCCCAACAAACGGAAATGGTGTGGAGCATCAGAATAGCAATAAGAATACGGAGCAAAGCACAAAGCAATTGTCGTACTGTTAAGCGTACACAGAGAGAAAAATGCAACTATTACAAATATATATTACGATAAATAATTCAGAGATATATTTGAGAAATATGATAGTATGAAAAAAACGGCAAATCATAAACTTCTTTCAAATTGAATTCAATTGAACAAGTAAAACCAAACATAGTGAGAATACAAAAAATTGGTTTCTTATAAATCAGATTAATTAATCCACAGACAAATATAACCCTAACTACGATTCTCGTGAAGAGACATAATATTTTTGAGATAAATTGTTTATTTAGGTGTAATTAGTCGCATAAGCAAAAAATCTTCAAAATAATGATGATATATGTGTATGTCATATATCAAATTAATATGAATACACTTTCTTAGTTCTTAGAACTTCATCACTAGTTGAAAGACAGAAAAAATAATTTATCTATCTTTTTTTTTCCTTTTTTCTAAATTAATTAATTTATAATTATTTTCCCTTTTTTTTTTAATAAAAAACAATTTATATTTATATTGCCATTCACACTTCTGTTTTGTCAATTATTTGTAACATTCTCAGCTAGCCTTACTTAATTAAAATGTTCGTTTGTTTATCCGTAGTTCAATCCGGTCGCAACATACGCCACCTGCCCTGCATAGTGCGCAAGTCGGGACGCTCGGGTGTCTGCATGTTTGCCATCGACTGCATCAAGCAGAATGGCACCCATTTGGGCACCTGCATCGATCGCTTCTATTTTGGCTCGTGCTGTGCGCCCAAGGTAAGCTCCCAGCTGCAACCATTTTATATAATATTTTGTATACTAATTACAAACAAATCTTTATCCGCAGGAGGAGGCCTCGCTGTTTGCGCCGGAGATAAGCGACAATAGCATCGATCAGAATACGATTTCACATTTCTCTCACGAATCCACCACGTTGCCTACGAGCGCCCTCTTCAAGCTCACCACCGAGAGCAGCACCACGCATAACTACAATTATCAGCAGCAGCAGCAGCAAAACACCGCCAGCGAGCTGCTCAAAAATGTTACCCAAAGCTATTTGAGCAGCATGAAGCCGGTGCGCACCACCAGCAGCAGCAGCAGCGGCAGTACAGCGACAAGCCACTCGCCTAGCTCGACGCGTCGCCCCACCACCGCGCACACCACTCACAAGCACTCACAATTTGTGGTGCGCACCACAGTCAAACCAAGCGCAGCGCCAACGTTGACAACCACCGTTAAGCCGCCGCGTCGTCGCACCACCACAACGCGTCCAGTGCTAACCACCGCGCCAGCGCTTGAGCAGCGCATCGAGACCACGACGGTGCCCAGCAAGTTTGTCACTTTCCAGATTGTAGAGACAACCACGCCAACAGCCACCGAACCCACCAATCGCTTGCCCGAGACAACCACCAGGCGGCACACCAGGCCCACCGCTAGCAGCAGCAGCAGCAGCAGTAGCTCAGCAGCTGCTAAGACAACAAGCAGAACAACAACAACCACCAGAGCGCCAACAACCACCAGAGCGCCAACAACCACAACCCCGACAACAACAACAAGGACGACAACGACGACGACGACAACGCCGCGTCCAACACCACCGCTGCGCACCACCACGCCAAAGCCACACAAGCCGCAGTCTAGCAGACGGCCAGCGCCTGTCAAGAAGCCAGCAGCAGCAACAAACACAACAACAACAACGGCAACGGCAACGCGTAAGCCCAGCGACAGCAGCAGCAGCGGCAGCAGCACAGCAACAACATTGCCCGCTCGCAAGCCAGCTAATAGCACCACCAGCACAACAACAACCACAGCAGCTAGCCAGAGCCATAAAACTACGGCAACAGCAACAACGAGCAGCAAGCTGCCGGAAAGAACAACGCTGGCGCCCAGGCCAAAGCCACAGCCAACGGGCGAGATTGTCAAGGTGCCAGCATTGCTGGCGGACGCCGGCAGCACAACAACCACAGCAACAAGCAGCGCGCCAACTAGCACAAAAGTCACGCGCAGACCAACAACAAGCAGCAGCAGCACAGCTACAACAACGGCGCCCAAAAAGCAAACCAGCAGCAGCAGCACCACAACAACAACAACAAGCACGCCTAAGCCCACGCGCCGGCATACAACGAAAACAACAAGCACCACAGCAGCACCACCGTCAACAACAACCACCGCTGCAACGCTGCTCACAACCGAAGCGCCCAAATTGCAGACAAGACCAACAGCAGCAGCAACAACAGCAGCAGCAACAGCAGCAACAGTTGGTGGCAGCACCAAAAAACCTGGCCTGATCACCTGGACAGACGTGGAAGCGGAGCCCATTACAAATGCAACCATTAGCAGCGATTGGCAGCCAGGACAATCGGCAGATTGGGTGCCATTGCCCACTTTGTTGCCGGAGTTGTACAACAAGACGACAGGTAAGTGGTTGTTGTTTTGGGTTGTTGCACAAGCAAACGTATAAGCAATGCGGCTAGCTGCAAGATAAACATGATTCGAACTCTAATTGCAGCAACGCCCAGCGCCACAGACAAGGTGGTTATCTCGGTGGCCACCAGCGTCAGCACCAGCAGCGGCGATTCGAAGCCGGGTGAGAGTCAAATGCATGAGGAGACAATGGTAACCAGCAAGCCGCATAGAACCACAAAGCCGCCCATAACCACCTCCAGCAGCAGCAGCAGCAGGCCAACAGCAACAACTGCAGCGAGCAGCAGCAGCACAGAAGCCACGACAACAACAACAACAACAACCATGAGAACAACTGTAACAAGCAAAACCACAGAGGCACCACCAACAAAAACAACAGCCACAACAGCAAAAACAACAAGCACAACTGAACGCTTGGAATTAGCATCCTCAACGTCGTCTTACACAGATTCAAGCACCGAGTCGAGCGGTGGCAGCAGCGGCAGCAGCAGCACCACCACCAACACCACCAGCACCACAACGGATTACAGCGGTGAGGATCTGAACCAAACAACAGCAACAATCGATGCAGCTGGAAATACAACCGTAGCGCCTGCGACTGGCTTGGAGGGCGTCGATTACAGGGAAGGTGAGTGCAACGCGTTGCTTCTTCATTGATGCAGAACGCAAAATAAAACATAAAGAAATGAACTGAGAATAGCTCAGTAGCTAGTCGAAGACTGTATGCCCTTTCCTTATAGACAGACAGCTCTTTGAGCTTATGAAAAACTGCTCCTAAGCAAAAGCTTTAGTTACTTTTTTTAAATAATATTAATGTTACATTTAATATTATTATTGCTTTATTTAAGCTGCAAATAGAACGTTTTTTCGAGAGCTTCGATAGTTCCTATTTATCAGTCAGGCTCAAAGAATGATTCTACTCATAGCACTTATTATATAAATGTTGATGCTAAGGCTAAAAATGGAATGGAATTAATGCTGGATGAAATCCGTTTTTAGAAACCCAGATATAGACCAGTTCTTAATAGTTCTTATAATAAAAGTTCATGGAAAGATGTTCACTATTATAACATGGTTGAAGTTATTATAAAATATACAATATAATCTTTAAACAGATTCTATGCCAAAGACTTCGCTGAATTCAAAAACTAGCCTAACTGAGCTTTGATCCCGGAATATATTTTCCAAAATCTAGACTGAGATTCGAACGCTGAACTACGTTCTTTATTTAGCTGTATGGCTGGCTCCATGCGATAGCTCATCTATCAGGAACTGAAGTTTTTGCACAGATATTTTGACTAAAAGTCGAAGTAGTTATAATACTTACTATACTTATATGTAATAATATTATACTTAATAATATTAGACTGAATAACAGAAAAGTGTACTTTTCATTCAAATATTCTGAACATTTTATATATGTTGTATTTAAAAAGGCAGAGTAGTATTCTGTTTTACAAAACTAAATAGAACTTTTATATTAGAAAAAAAAGAGAATAGTGTAGATTGGATAAATTGTAAAAAAAAACTTAAAAAGATTTTTCCACTTATTTAAATCCTTTCACGACTAATCTTAATTCCATAATGACAGCAATATGACATAGCTGCACCATATTAAATTTCTGAAAACAGCAATATTCTAGCTCATTTACTCTTGACCATATCAACAAATACTTATTTAGTAGAAAAGGTAACCTTCCCGCTTACACAGCTGATATAGCCAATGCAAGTGTTTAGGTTGCATACAAGAAAAAAAAAAGGATGGATGAAAAAAAAGAAACTTGTTTGCTGCAGAGCGAAGAAATCTATTAATATACCAGACTTTGGCCATAAGACAAAGATGCGTGGCCATTAAATTCAATTTGAAGGCTGAACATTGGCCTTGAGCAAGAACTTTGTGTCTGACTGTCTGTGCAGAGCGCAAATGATACCGAATGATGCTCGACTCCTCTTGTGCTGCCTCCGATGGATGCTGCACAGGAGCAGCAGCAGCAGCATCATCGTGTGTCTAGAAAGCTAAGCGCGGCTTTTACTGCCACAAAGCCAACAACAACAAGTAGAAGAAGAACTCATGTCCATGGCAATTTTTACAGCAATAATTTACAATAATGACTGGCGTTGCGGTCATTGTGCCGCCTGGGTCACGTTGTCTGCGCTTATCGTGCTTGCTTAGTCGATTGTCCGATCTGTTGCCCCACACCCCGCCACACCTCCTCCTCTGGCCTGTGGGCAAAATGAGTCAGGGAGTTGTTGCCCGTTTGCCCGTTGCCGAGGTCCGTTGACCGATTTGCGAGCAACTGCAATATCTTGATGCACGAAACGTACGACGCAGCCATAAAGTAGGCCGTTGACTGCTGGCCAAAGTCAAGGCCTGGCCAAGACCAAGACCAAGACGAAGACGAGGACGAAGACATGGCCAAAGCATATTACATTTCTTGGCTGGACTCTTGGGATGACTGAGTGCCTGCTGTAGTGATTAAAATGTTTAAAAGGCTTTTGTGGCCATTACTTTAATTGTGACCTGCTCGCCTATTAAATGCCGCCCTTCTGCCCTTTTTTTTTTGCAGTCTGCGGCCGTCGCATGTTCCCCGAGCCGCGCATCGTTGGCGGCGCAAACGCTGCCTTTGGACGCTGGCCCTGGCAGATATCGCTGCGTCAATGGCGCACCTCCACCTATCTGCACAAGTGCGGCGCGGCGCTGTTGAACGAGAACTGGGCAATCACCGCAGCGCATTGTGTTGACAAGTAAGTGGAGAGCTCGCCAGAGAGCTGGCCAAAAGCGAACTGTTGCCTAACACCCGCTCTCATGTCTTGCAGTGTGCCGCCCTCCGATCTGCTGTTGCGACTGGGCGAATACGATCTGGCCGAGGAAGAGGAGCCCTATGGCTTCCAGGAGCGACGTGTGCAAATTGTGGCCTCACATCCGCAGTTCGATCCGCGCACCTTCGAATACGACTTGGCGCTGCTCAGGTGAGTGTGCACACACACACATATATATATATATATACATATATAATTACAACCCGTGCTGCTTTGCAGATTCTATGAGCCCGTGGTATTCCAGCCGAATATCATACCCGTTTGTGTGCCCGACAACGATGAGAACTTTATTGGGCAGACAGCCTTTGTCACCGGCTGGGGTCGTCTTTATGAGGATGGGCCGCTGCCCAGCGTGCTGCAGGAGGTCGCTGTGCCTGTCATCAACAACACCATCTGCGAATCGATGTACCGCTCCGCGGGCTACATTGAGCACATACCGCACATATTCATCTGTGCCGGCTGGAAGAAGGGCGGCTACGATTCGTGTGAAGGTGCGCTTTGTAATTCATATTTGATTTATGACGCGGGCTAATTGCATTTAACCGATTCACAGGTGATTCCGGCGGGCCCATGGTGCTGCAGCGCGAGTCGGACAAACGCTTTCATCTGGGCGGCGTCATATCCTGGGGCATTGGCTGTGCGGAGGCCAATCAGCCGGGCGTTTATACGCGCATCTCCGAGTTCCGAGACTGGATCAATCAGATTTTACAGTTTTAGTCGCATCGTAGTCTTCGCCTGTGTATTATGCCTAATCCTTAGTGAATGCCCAGCAACCGCATACGATATGGAAATCGTAGACGAATCCGTAAACTTAAATACTAGAACTCGTGCTTTGGTTATGGCCACACGCTCACACATAATTAATGGAGTTTTGCGCATAACCCAAGCAACGATTTCAGTTAACATTTACCCACAACTCCTACTCCTATCGACCCCTTTCCCAAAATCCACCTGCACACACAGCACAGCAATGAGAACAACAAAAATCACACGAAATTCCATTGTCATTATGTTAATTTTAAAGAAATTCTTAGTTTAAATCATAATTAACAAACAAAAGAAAACAAACCCCTATTCATGATAATGATGATGATGATGATTTGACTCTTAATTTATTTTCCCCCCCACATTTGCTCTGTATATAATTTTCTAAATTATTGCATAACATTTATTTAGCTTTAAGCTTATTTAATAGAAATTCGGCAAATCGCTCTACTCGATGTAGGGCATTTGATAAGGCGCTTCTCTTTGCACGAAGTTATTTTACGAATACATAGAAGAAGCTATTGTAATTTAATTTAATACGCGTATTGTAATTATTTATTTAAAAGCACAACAAATTAATTCAATTAAAATGTTTAAAACAAATTTACAATTGCTGCTGTTTTTATTTTGGCTAAAATGGAATATTGGGATTGGGAGTTTTTTTTAATAAAACTTCTAAGCATGTTGGCTTTTATGAAGAATTTATATGTCTTACAAAAAGATAAATTCTTTGAAAGAAAATTGTTTGAATTAAATTTAAATTTCCACAGCACAATACATGAAAAATTTAATTTGCTATGAAAACTAAGCATAAAACATAATTTTATAAATTTAAAAGAAATTCGCTTCAACACAGCAAACAAATAAATTTTTTGTTGATTTTCTCAGGTTCAGTTTCCCTACCAAGATTGTTTAGCCTCAAACGCAGTGCATACTTTTAGGCTGACAAAAAATGTACTAGCGCCATCTAGAGTTCGTTTTAAAGTCGATTCGACACATATTTAGTTTATATTCAACCCAAAGGTAGTTTCTGTTTTTTTTTTGTTACAGTTCTTTTGAATTAATTATGTACAGTGGTAAATGGAGTTAAAGGACTGATTAAAAACAGATTAATTTAGACAAATATTTGATTTAAATTCTATTTGTTTATCTACGGCGCCTAATGTCCCACCATTAGCCATTGAAAAATGCAAAAGCTGTTCAACAAAAGCTACTTATAAAACTGTGGTCCCATCCAGCTGCATAGACACAGCCGCACAGCAGGCCAAGCAAACTTCACACATTATTCATTAAGTGGAGCATTTATATTCCGGCTGCATGCACCGAGAGCTTGGCAACAATTCAGCATTATTTGGCAGACGCCGCATATGATCGACCGAAAATAAACACGAAAATCCAACCGAAAACTAAAAACAAAAACATTGCCCAATATTTCAAAGTACAAAAAACTTTCTTTACAAGTTGGGCAAGTGACAAATTTCCAAATGTATTTTGCATATGTTAAATGAAAAAACAAAAATGAAAATATATTTTATATGCGAGGCATGCGACAAACGAGCAACGCGCAGCAGAAATAAAGTCCCGAACAATCGGCTTTTTTTGGACTTTTTTAAAATGTTTTTTGAGTACTTAATAAAAAGCTTACAATCTTTGCGTCGCATGGGAAAAGCTTAAAAGCTTCATATATATATATATAGACCAAGCTAATTATAAGAAATTGAAGAATTTAAAGAATTTCTAAATTATGAAATAGAAGCCGAAACGTAATTCAAATAATCAATAATCAATACAAATTTGAAGACAAACATTTAAATTTCTAGATTGAATATTAACCGAAACACAAACAAACAAAAGCTTTAGATCGTTATAAGTCTTTCATTTGAAGATAAATATAGCACAATGAAGCGATCACTATGCTATATTGCTCCCAAGTTGAATGTCTCGCATAGGAAAGTTATCTGTGGTCTCATCAAGGGCTAAAAGACAAAACGTTTTTGGTCAGCACGATGATCAACGCCCCGCAATTACGGTTGTCGACGTCATTGCGATGAGTTCGTTCGTCATGGAACTTTCGCTTTCGGACAATGTCGGTCATTTGCATATGACAGACAGGCGGACAGACGGGCAGTCGGGTGGGCAGGGGAACTGAGCGTGGTTGGCGGCAGCTGAGTTTGTTTATGGCGTGTGGGAGCCAAATTTGGGGCCACTCGAATCACCTGCAACAACTTGAGATCATCTCGGGCGATCTCACAGACCAACATATCATAATTTGTGCAGGCATCACGAGCCTGCGCTCATGTGTGCCGATTATCAACGGCTACAATCTTAGCTCCAACTTCAAGTGCTGCTCCTTGACCGGCTGCATACGATTTGTACCTGACTATTGCATGAACTTTCACATGCAATTGGCAGTGGTATGGCATGGTCTGGCATGCCAGCTGCCCGGCCATTCGTGCCACTAATAAACGCTCTTTAGTAAATGCGCTGGGCGTGTACAGATTATGCGATTTGGCCAAAAATTGAAACGTGCCCAGAAATTGGAGGACATTGATCCTGCCGATCGCTGATTAGATAATCGCCCAACCAAGCTCAGACTTTATAATTTATGGCGAAAGTGCAAATTTGCTGGGCTGGCGCATTCACTTTTATTTTGGCATTCAAAATATAATCATTTGTCATGTGAGTTTTTTATGAGGTTTTGTTTAAATTCGTATTTATTGATGGCATATTTTTGTGAATCTGCTTCATATTTTGGCTTGTTTGATGCCTCACTTTTTGACAACGGCCAAGCGCCTAATTTGGCTATTTATGATATTGTTAACACTCTTGTGATAGGTCGGCAATTTATATAAAAAAAAAAAACTGGTGAAATTTGTGTAACATTCGCTTGCATAAGTTGTAGATCATTTCAAAGATTTTCAAGCAAATGCCTTATATAGTTTAATTATTTGATGTCAACTAAAAAATTTCTAGCTGTTATATGTGGTTTGACAGACATTTCTGTGGATTAATAATAAAAATAGGGGTGGGAAATTTTGACTTGTCTATATAGGGTTCTTGAGGGTACAATTTTCTATATATGATATTTGAGGGTACCATTTTCACATGAATTTTAACCAAGAATCATGCTGCCAGGTTCAGATGCCAAATTGATCCAGAGGTCAAACCATGAGCAAAAAGGCAATCCTTATGAAAATCGGTTGAGTTTCGACCGAGTTATGGGGTTGGGAAATTTTGACCTATGTCTATATAGGATATTTGAGGGTACCATTTTCACATGAATTTTGACCAAGAATCATGATGCCAGGTTTAGACGCCAAATTGATCTTGAGGTCAAACCATAAACAAAAAGTGAAACCTTATGAAAATCGGTTGAGTTTTGACCGAGTTATGGGGGTGGGAAATTGTGGTCTATATAGGATTTTTGAGGGTACTATTTTAACATGAATTTTGACCAAGAATCATGTTGTCAGGTTTAGATGCCAAATTGATCTTGAGGTCAAACCATAAACAAAAAGTGAAACCTTATGAAAATTGGTTGAGTTTTGACCGAGTTATGGGGGTGGGAAATTTTGAGCTATGTCTATATAGAATATTTGAAGGTACTATTTTCTGTATAGCATATTTGAAGGTACTATTTTCACATGAATTTTGACCAAGAATCATGTTGCCAGGTTTAGACGCCAAATTGATCTTGAGGTCAAACCATAAACAAAAAGTGAAACCTTATGAAGATCGGTTGAGTTTGACCGAGTTATGGGGGTGGGAAATTGTGGTCTATATAGGATTTTTGAGGGTACTATTTTCTGTTTAGCATATTTGAAGGTACTATTTTCACATGAATTTTGACCAAGAATCATGTTGCCAGGTTTAGATGCCAAATTGATCTTGAGGTCAAACCATTAACAAAAATTCAAACCTTATGACAATCGGTTGAGTTTTGACCGAGTTATGGGGGTGGGAAATTTTGACCTATGTCTATATAGGATATTTTTTTTTTTTTTTTTTTTTAACATAATTATTATTTATTTTATTTAAAATCTGCCCCCTTTTTGGGCAATAATTAAATGTTTTCTTTGACCTATGGCAGTTATGTATTGCGTGTATCTATGTGTCTGTTTTGTGTGTTTAGTGTAGGGGAAGCAGTGGAATTTGTGGAGTTAGACTCTTTGGGGGAGGTCAAAAAACAAAAAGTGAAACCTTATGAAAATCGGTTGAGTTTTGACCGAGTTATGGGGGTGGGAAATTGTGGTCTATATAGGATTTTTGAGGGAACCATTTTCACATGAATTTTGACCAAGAATCATGTTGTCAGGTTTAGATGCCAAATTGATCTTGAGCAAACCATAAACAAAAATTCAAACCTTATGACAATCGGTTGAGTTTTGACCGATTTATGGGGTTGGGAAATTTTGATCTATGTCTATATAGGATATTTGAGGGTACCATTTTCACATGAATTTTGACCAAGAATCATGTTGTCAGGTTTAGATGCCAAATTGATCTTGAGGCCAAACCATAAACAAAAATTCAAACCTTATGACAATCGGTTGAGTTTTGACCGATTTATGGGGTTGGGAAATTTTGATCTATGTCTATATAGGATATTTGAGGGTACCATTTTCACATGAATTTTGACCAAGAATCATGTTGTCAGGTTTAGATGCCAAATTGATCTTGAGGTCAAACCATAAACAAAAAGTGAAACCTTATGAAAATCGGTTGAGTTTTGACCGAGTTATGGGGGTGGGAAATTTTGACCTATGTCTATATAGGATATTTGAGGGTACCATTTTCACATGAATTTTGACCAAGAATCATGTTGCCAGGTTTAGATGCCAAATTGATCTTGAGGTCAAACCATAAACAAAAAGTGAAACCTTATGAAAATCGGCTGAGTTTTCACCGAGTTATGGGGGTGGGAAATTGTCCTATGTCTATATAGGATTTTTGAGGGTACCATTTTCACATGAATTTTGACCAAGAATCATGTTGTCAGGATTAGATGCCAAATTGATCTAGAGGTCAAACCATAAACAAAAAGGCAATCCTTATGAAAATCGGTTGAGTTTAGACCGAGTTATAAGGGTGGGAAATTTTGACCTATGTCTATATAGGATATTTGAGGGTACCATTTTCACATGAATTTTGACCAAGAATTATGTTGCCAGCTTTAGATGCCAAATTGATCTAGAGGTCAAACCATAAACAAAAAGGCAATCCTTATGAAAATCGGTTGAGTTTTGACCGAGTTATGGAAGTGGGAAATATTTACTTATGTCTATATAGGATATTTGAGGGAACCATTTTCACATGAATTTTGACCAAGAATTATGTTGCCAGCTTTAGATGCCAAATTGATCTAGAGGTCAAACCATAAACAAAAAGGCAATCCTTATGAAAATCGGTTGAGTTTTGACCGAGTTATGGAAGTGGGAAATATTTACTTATGTCTATATAGGATATTTGAGGGAACCATTTTCACATGAATTTTGACCAAGAATTATGTTGCCAGCTTTAGATGCCAAATTGATCTTGAGGTCAAACCATAAACAAAAAGGCAA